ATTCAAACTTGACCTGTGTTTTGTGTTAATAAGCATTGTGTTTAAGTTTCATAACATTTGGTTGAGGCAAAGTTAGAGAACGGAAACCAATTTTGGGACGTATGGACGGACGTACCAGCATACATACAGACGGACCAACATACGTACAGATGGACAAGGGTAATACTTAATGTCCCTCCGCTACGGCGGGGGGATAAAAATAATTATAAAGCATTGTACAGTGGAATCTTTAGTGGAGTTCTAGCAAATATGGACATACCCCCGGTATTATGATTCACAACATAATAAGATCACAAAGGAAGCTGAAAAGTTTAATTGATTATCACATTTATGTTAACAAAAATCAGAATAATTTGATGTACAGTCTTAGGTTAAAAGTGTTTCATCTATTGGAAATTTCCCTATTATTATTTCATATAAAAACACATTTTCAATAAAAAATTCTACTGAAGATATTTCTTGCCCAAATTGAATGATTTTTTTCATTAAATACAGAAATGTCTGCTGTTCATGCTGTTTGTTGCAGTAATTGTGAAATATATTTATGATTTATATTTTAAGGGAAATCACTGTTTAAAGACAAATATGTAATGGTAGCCTTTGCCTCAATTCCTCAGCCCATATATATAGTAAACTTGGATATGTATGATGGCTCGTTTTCATTTTCACATGTGTGGTTAAATTTTCGGGTATGGACTATGAAGTGAGATTCGTTTTTTTCCCAGGAATTTTGCACACCCCGAAAAGCCTTTTGCAAAGCGGATTTTCAAGGTAAAAAATCTTTTCACACAAAAAATTCTTTGAAAATCTAATTCTTTACATACATTTAATAACTCCAGGGTTTTTACACCTTTATCATATGGTCCTCTTGCTCTCTTAATCAGCACAACTGGTTAAGCTTAGTTACTTGTTAAAAAGTGAAACATGTTCAATATCACTGCACAGAGATTTTTTGTTAACACACTACTTTTGAGGTCCTCACTTTGAGGCATATTATATAACTAGGGATAATGACCCATATACACCCTCCTATACTCTATATTGTTATTTTACAGCATTTCTTGATTGTTGATGTCAACACTGGTATTGTATAAATAAGGACAGAAATAAATTATGGCTAAGATAATAGGTATCCTAAACTATTTCCACTTGACGTTTCAAATACAGGAATTTGAGGAATTTTGCAGTCTTTAAAGGGCTGTTTTTTTAAATTATTGAATTAAATATTCTCAATTTTTTCAACAATATGACAGGAATAATTAGATTATACTTCCCCCACTTGAAGCCATATAAATGTTAGCTTAGTAGTATTTATTTCTCTACTTAAAATGGTGGTTACACACCGTTTGAGCTGTCATTGCCAGCCTCAAGTCTTTGTTTGCGATTGTTTTATTATAAAAACATGATAAACGTATGTTGATGTATTGCTTAGACTATTTGGATACTATCTTATAACTTTGTAAAATTGATTGCTGTATTTATCATTTGACATTTGATTTGTTAACATTGATTTCAATGGCGGCATGTACATGTTTGCTGGTATAATTTTTACTCAAAACAAATTTCGAAATTTCGCACTTCCAGGCTGTCAAGTTTTCATGAAACAAATGTGTGCGATTTAGCAAAAATTTTAAAGATCAAAGGAAAATGCCGCCAAATAAGCATGAAAATGCGTGAGATAATTGAGTGAGATTTGACAGCATGGCACTTCCAGTTCACCAATCACCCAACATGTGCAAGTGGTCTATTCATAAATCATTCGTATATTGTAAATTTTTTTAATTAAAAATTCAAGAAAATCAATTAATATTTTATTAAACATTCGTATATTGTGTATCTTTATAGTACAAGTTTGCAGTGTTACTAGTTAGCTCGCAGTGGTTTGAGTTCATATTAGTAAAAGATAACTTTTAGAGGTACAAAATGATATGGTAAGAGTTTGAAATGGTACAAGTTGAACAGTGGTCTCGTTAGCCCAAAATAGAAGGGAGCCGCGCCCTGGGTGCCCTCAGTCGCGCCCTGGGTGCCTTCATCCGCGCCCTTCTGCCCTGACGCCTTTTTCCCGAAAACCCTTGTGCCGTTTTGGTAAAATTGCCTTTTGTTTCATCGATTTCTTATCACAAAGTAAAATTACATATATGACACCAGGTGATTGCCCCAGGTTAATCATGTCATTACAATCAATTACAGTGGATAAGACTTCAAAGGTGTTAATAACTAGGTAATTTAATTAAGACAATGTACCTTTTTGTCATAAATTTGATGAATGTGTCAGCGAGTGTTTTTAGCTTGGGTCGGCATTTTCGATCTCCAAGAAGAGTGTATAAATGAAGACTTCCATGACTTTAGAATAGAATTTAAGTCATCAAAATACAACTATGCCTTCACAGAAATGCCGTCCATCTCAACTTGTGAGCGACAAGCAAACAGAAAACGTGTTAGAAATTAATTTTTGAGTTACTTCCCCTGTTTTAGCTTACTTCAAATTTGTGCTCCTAAAATATTATCTAGTATTAAAAATAGGAATAAATCACCAATTGAATACAAAATTATATAAGAATGTTACCTTAAGGATATTAACTGTCTTTGAACATACCAAAAAAAATATATTGCAATTTATTTTTGATAATCATACTTTAAGCAATCCATGTTCTATACATTGTCAAGTCAGAAATTTGTAAGTGTAATGGTTATGATGATGTTAAGCTGCAATCCTGCAAAAATGGGTAGTGTGAAGTTAACCTATCATGACATCAACTTGATGAAGCTTTACTAAATAATTCCTTAACACAAACAATGAAAAAAAGTTTTAAGGGCCAAACTCTAGCTGAAAATTTTGAAATAAGACAACTCTGTCACATGTATGCTTAACTATGAGATGTTTAGTTTATGTTTTTTTTTTTTGGAAAAGGGGGGGGGGGGGGGGGGGGGAGAATAGTAAGTTAATTTGCCTCTATTGGTTTATAGTGATGTGATGTATGAATGTGTATTGACATGTTTTATGAACATGTCGTATGAATTACATTTTCTAATGCAAATTTTATAGAATAAATAATCAAAACAACAACTTATGCATCTTTATTAACAACATATACAGTAAAAAAAAGAATGTGAACTCGTGATACATACAGAAACGTAGACAAAAGAAATGAGCGGTGCCTTTTCGTTTCATAAAAAAGTGCCCTGCCCTCCACTGGCACCCTGCCCCTTTTGATTTCTAGCTGGAGCACTGTTGAATGCATCCGTTTCGAGTGATGATAATATAAATAAGAAGATGTGGTATGAGTGCCAGTGAGACAAAATAAGTTTGGCATCCCACATATACCTTTTCACTATTTGTCTGCCATTACTCTGTCAATAGTTCAAGTGTAGCAGATTTCTCTAGTCAACAGGTTGGGCTCAAGTCAGGGAAAGTGGGGTATTCCCTGTTTTCAGGGACCATCCCAGTTTTCTGGTGTTAAAAAACCCCAGTTTACAGGGACTTCCTTTTTCTATTTCAATTCATGGCATGAAATTTACAAAAGCGCATGTTTTAACTGTATCAGTAGTATTTGTAAATACTTTAAGTATCTCAGGAACAACAAAACATGAATAAGTGAAGCCTTGTTTTTTCTAGAACTCAAAAACATACAAATCTTTTGTTTAGGAATCAGTTGATCAAGCTGCATGCTCCAGGTGTAACTGATCATAACTGAATTATGTTCACTTCTATTGAAATTTTCTATTCATTGAATTTAAATGCCTAAGTGATTAACTTATCTTTTTGTCTTCTCATAATTGATGATCAAGGTATGAATTGGTGAACAAAGGAATTGTTTTGTTGTGAGTTGAGCATCAAATAAGACTTGAAATTAGCTTGATTTTTGAACTTATAAAAACACTTGCTATCATATAACATTGTTATCACATGTAGAAGGTGCGCTTTTGTAGATTTCATACCATAAATTGACAAGGAAAAAAGAAGTCCCTGTTTACTGGGGTTTTTTAACACCAGAAAACTGGGGTGTTCCCTGAAAACAGGGAATACCCCAGTTTTCCTGACTTGAGCCCAACCTGGTCTAGTGTCATAGATACACCTCATCGCTATTTATTCCATTCCGGATAAGTTCTAAAATTACACAACTTTTTCATCCAGTTGAGGCTATCTGGGACCCTGTTTAAACAATGCACCATGCATGATACTTTTTAATGAGACCTGTTTAAAACATCGTAAATACTTCAAACACAATATGTTTTTGACTATAATTTGAGTTTGGAAAAAGTGGATCATAATCTATCAAAGTTTCCTATTGATCGCTTTCTAAATTTTTCCCTCCCTCAGCTCGTAACTGATGACCTTTGTTTGCGGCCTGTTGACCCAACAGGAAGTTGTCTAAATGACTGTTTTTTTCCGGATTGGACTAAATAGCGATAAGGTGTATTCTCAGGTCAAGTGTCGCAGATTCCCAAATAGTGATAAGGTCTGTTTATACAATGCCAGGATATGTTTGATGAATCCAAGTATTTGTAACATGTATAACAGCAGATAGATATATCTATTTGGCCTTATCGGTTAAAGTAAATTTTTATTCATTTTTTCGATGCATTTTGCATGTTTTGAAAGTGTAAAAGTATGTTTTTTTTCATGTTTATGGCGTGAAGATACATTGTATTTGAAGAATATTCAGCACTGTTGTATTGGATGTATTTGTGTTCAAAGCCAATCATTACCTGCTGTTGTGCCATATTCATTGCAAATATATGCTGAAAGTTTACACTTTTGTTTTGGCACCGTCCCCCTCAAACCGGAAGTGATTTTTTCAGCCTGAAGTGAATATTTTGAATTAAAATATTTGACCAGAAACATATGAGACCAAACAAACAAATCTATCTCTTTGATAAACAAATCTTTCTCCTTGTGAGAAAAGGATCCTGGTCAAAAATCAAGAAATACGCATAGAAATAAGCGAAAAGTCGAAAAAGTCTATGTCCGAAAAATGCTTGATTATTTTTTTCTGTGTAATCAAACATGCAAATGACGTAGACGTTTGTTATGATATCAGACGAAAAGATTTGAAGATGTTGACATAATATCTACATATGTATATATTTCTTTTTCTGCAAGAATGAGAGTATGATTAATCTTTTAAGTTGAGAAAGGACAAACATCTGATTAGTATCACTTATTTATGTTCGAGTCAGAATGACTCTTAATAGGTTAACTTTAATAGGGATCATGTAACAGGTTGGGGAAGATTTTTTACATTATGTCATTAATAGAATTATACCCCCATTTACAAATAAACAAAAAAGTGAATACAAGGTAAATAACAACACTCATGAGATGACAAAGCCCATTAGAGTCTACACTGTAGTAAAGACATAGATTAGAAGATTAGATTTATGGATTCATGATGGGTCGTATAATTTATAGAATGTTTTTGTGTCAGATATATATATATGCAGATTGACTAGAATGTGTTCTTAATTACGGTTCTACATCATTCACCAGATATTGAATAGTAAATAAACAATCTAAATGGCATATACCAGTCGCAACTGGCACATACTAGTCAACTGACAAAAGGACACCTAATACATAGATGGATTATACATATATAGATGTAACACAAATGTAGTTCATATACAATATTAGGTCAATTTCAGAAAAATATCAATTTTTTCTATAAGGCAAAGAAAGTGTTTGGTGACGTATACAAAAAAGTTGATATTTTACTGACTTTGACCTAACTTTGTTTTTATACTGCAGCTATAATTGCTCCATTTGTATTTATTGTATTTATAAAAATGTTAACACAAAAATAAAAGTTGTTTTTCATCCCTAAATGAAGATTGTGAAGAACAGTAATAAACACGTCATGGAATTGACATTGCACGAAATATCCCATTGACTTTGTTATTATAGTTGGTAGATAAAGATAATAGGAAGTGTTCTAGCTGCGCTATAAAAGACTAAAGATAATAAAAACATTTTTTTTATCAGGCATGAGTGATATGAGTGACCATGGCTGAATACGAGACACCCTATCAGGCGTTAGCGACATTTGATGATGATGAGACAGATGAGGCACCATCACATGATAGAGATTTTATGATTCATGTTGTTCCAGAAAGTAGTATGTAAATTGTTTACAACTGTTTAATATATAAAACAGATCATATAATAGTAGCAGTCATGAGACTCAGAGTATTGTTACCTATTTATACTGATTAAAAAAAGTTTAGCAACAAATATCTTTAATTTCATATTTTTTAAATAAACCACAAATTACTGAAATGTATACTTCTAAACATATGATTACTGTAACAAAGAAAATAAGCTTAATCAGGTGTATTTTTGACTTAAATATATTCAATGTTAACAAATATTTTTGCAACTTTGGAAAGTTTTAATTATATCCCTGCTTTAAAAAAGTGGGGGTAAACTATTACTGTTTTACCTCTGTCTGTCCTATAATAATCCGTCTGTCCATCCATCTGTCAATTCATCCGTCAGTCCGTCCGTCCCATGAATATTTTACATTGCATCTTTCTCAGTAACTACATTACAAGGATTTCTGAAATTTGGTTTCAGGGTTTATATAAGTCAGCTATACCCTGTGATGCATTTTCAGATTCATCACTCAACAACAAATGCATATTTGGCTGGGGGTATCATCAGTGAGTAGTAGCTCGCAGTTTCACTTGTTTAAAGTTCTTTTAATCAAATTTGGGAAACTTTTTTTATTCTGTATATTTAATTGAACTCTTATAATATTTTTTTAAGCTGAAAAAATTAGATATGTCACAGTTTGATTCCTGGAAAAAAAGAATTGTAGGTTAAAGTGTTTTTTGACTTATTCTAAAATGATGCTTTTTGGGGAACAATTGCTGTCAAGCAATCTTTAGACTTTTAGGATTGACTTCTTTCCAAGACTATCCCGTCAACCGTTTTGTGCTTTATATAAAGGAACAACTCAAATTCTTAAGATTGTTCTGTTTTAAAAGAGTAAAACAAACGAACAGATTGAATTTAAACAACTTTCTGTTAATTTTCTTTTCTTAATCCTCATGTTTTGATATCTCCCTTTTTTATTAGCTCACCTGACCCGAAGGGTCAAGTGAGCTTTTCTCATCACTTGGCGTCCGTCGTCCGTCGTCGTCGTCGTCCGTCGTCGTTAGCTTTTTACAAAAATCTTCTCCTCTGAAACCACTGGGCCAAATTTAACCAAACTTGGCAACAATCATCATTAGGGTATCTAGTTTAAAAAATGTGTCCGATGACCCCGCCAACCAACCAAGATGGCCGCCATGGCTAAAAATAGAACATAGGGGTAAAATGTAGATTTTGGCTTATATCTCTGAAACCAAAGCATTTAGAGTAAATCTGACATAGGGTAAAACTGATTATCAGGTCAAGATCTATCTGCCCTGAAATTTTCAGACAAATCTGACAACCTGTTGTTGGGTTGCTGCCCCTGAATTTGTAATTTTAAGGAAATTTTGCAGTTTTTGGTTATTATCTTGAATATTATTATAGATAGAGATAAACTGTAAACAGCAATAATGTTCAGCAAAGTAAGATCTACAAATAAGTTGCCATGACCAAAATTGTCAGTCGACCCCTTTAGGAGTAATTGCCCTTAATAGTCAATTTTTAACAATTTTTCGTAAATTTTTATAATCTTTTACAAAAATCTTCTTCTCTGAAACTACTGATACAAATTTAACCATACTTGGCCATAATCATTATTAGGGTATCTAGTTTAAAAAATTTGTCCGATGACCCCGCCTTCCAACCATCATGGCCAACTTAGTTAAAAATAGAACATAGGGGTAAAATGCAGTTTTTGGTTTATATCTCTGAAACTAAAGCATTTAGAGCAAATCTGACAGGTGGCAAAAATGTTCATCAGATTTAGATTTATCTGCCCTGAAATTTTCAGACAAATCCGACGACCCGTTGTTGGGTTGCTGCCCCTGAGTAAGTAATTTTACAAAAATTTTACAGTTTTCTGTTATTATCTTAGATATCATTATAATATCTAATATCTAATACTATTAATTATGATTTTTACCTTATTTTTCATGATTTCCAAAGCATCAGTAAATACAGGTGAGCGACACAGGCTCTTGAGAGCCTCTAGTTTGTGTTTATTTTACAATACTGAAAATCAGTACATGTATTAAGCAGTATCTGTATTTAGGGTTTTATATATTTAGCAAAACATCAGAGTGGGAATTCGCTGTATTGTAAAAATGCGAGAGTGGTTCCAAAATAAAACTATTTCCGTCAAACAAGTACTGAAGTGGTGTTATTCCTAATATGTTATCTTTTTTATGAAACTTTGATATTGAACTTCCGTAAAAAAATGGAAAACCACAATTGACATGTTGTCCTCAATCAAAACATAATTCTAACGGTTTGTTTATGTAATTAAGTGCATGAGTAGATTTCTTGGCCTTGAGGACCATCAGAATAAATGGTTGCTCTGGATTCCCCACGCCATTGACTGATTTGAAACTCAAGAGATCATTTCTCTGTTTTTAGCCAATATTAAAGGTTATCGTTGTTGCATTATTAACTCAAAAAATGAAGTTAACAGCCAAATGTTAGAAGTAGAAATAGAGCACCCCCTCAGCCCAAATGGAGACATCCATATTATCAACGCTATTAAGAAACTTTCATGCCACTTGTTGCTCACTGTTGATCAAATGTTTAAAAAAAGTCAAATTCATTTAACATGTTTTAATATGTAAGTAATCATCAGGGCCCGTATGCATAAAGCTACTTAAATTAAGATTTGTTCTGAACGGACGGATTTTTCTACATGTCCTACGATAAATTTGTATTACGAATGGATATCTTAACTTAAGTGGTTTTATGCATACAGTATGTTTATTTGCTATTATTTCTGTTTTGTTAAAAATCAAGGTTGATCAATAATGAACCCAGCCATCAATAGATTAACTATGGATAGACTATTCCCATTAATTCAGGGGTATACTTGTTGATAGACTATTCCATTCAAGTCAAGGGTTAAAATCTGTTAAAACTTCATGGAATAGAAGACTTGTAATAATCAAAAGACAGTGTCCATGGCAGAATTTAGAAGAAAAAAAAATGCATTTGTCTGTGTATTACTAGTAATTGGACTTTTTGTTTTTTTTTACTGTTAACTTTTACTTATTTTGGATATTTTTTTTAAAGTGAAAAACTAATTCAGATTGAATCAAATAGGGAATACATGTGCAGTTGAATTATTTTTGAGAAAGAATACTATTATCAATGGAAACAGTGGCAATTGTATCCCTCATAGCCATCAAGCTCTTTGATTTTACATTGTAAACAAAGCAATCTTTCCTAATTTCATTAAAACATGGAGTACATATGCTTAACAACAATTGAATTTTCAACATCATTTGTATTTTTTATGAATAAAAATTTGTATTCCTTACAGAATAAAAAAAAAAAATCTTCCATATCAATGATGTCATGCTCTATGTTAATCTTAACATGGGTAGGCATTATATTCGTCAATATTTTACACCTTGCTACTGCTCACATTTATAGATATTGAAAAATGCACTGCCTACTCATGTTAAATGAAGCATCTATAGAGCACGACATGAAAGAATTTAGATTATTAGCTGTGTTGAAACAGTTAAATATGTTTACTTTTAATTTCTTAACAAATTTGGCAATACAATATACGTCTTTCACACTTTTTTCAGCACGATGGAACCACATAGAAAATTTGGATGATTTTTTTGCCAGAGTTTACCATTATCATCAAAGAGGAGGTTTTGGTTGTATGGTTATAGAAGATATACTACAATTAATGTTAGTACAAAATAAAGCTGCTGGCAATATGAGGAGCAAACAGGAACATTTTTTTTACAATTCTATTACTGTTTTAATTGTAATTGCTTGATTTATATAGCCTTCTCAATTTTATTCAGTGATCTCCCCAGGCCGTTTTAGTGTCGCGGTGCTGTGACGCTATATTTTTTTTCTGTGACGCTATAATAATTTCCGCGATGCTATGACTATTTTGAAGATGCTATTTTTCTTTGCCGCAAAATAGATCGATGTCCTAATTTTTGAACTTTCATCTAATTACCGCTTGTGATCATAAAAATTATATCAACTTTAATAGTAATCCCTTCAAGTCGGACAATTGAGGCAATTAAGAGTGATCAAATAGGTATTTATTTTGTATTTACATTGTATCATAGGTCAAATTTATTTGTTCAGTGTATGTTCAATGGTGTTAATATGTCCTTTGATTGAGTTAAGCTATTTCAGTTGATATTTTATAGTGTGTCTTTCTATGTTGTGATGTTACACTATTGTTTCAGAAAAAGGGTGAAGGTTTGGTACCATTGAAACGTTTAAACCCACTGCATTTGTTTGCTCCTGTCCTAAGTCAGGAATCTGATATTTAGTAGTTGTTGCTTGTTGATGTGGTTCATAAGTGTTTCTCTTTTTTTATATAGATTAGACCGTTGGTTTTCCCGTTTGAATGGTTTTACATTAGTAATTTTTCGGGCCCTTTATAGCTTACTGTTCCGTGTGAGCCAAGGCTCCGTGTTGAAGAACGTACTGTGACCTATAATGGTTTACTTTTTATAAATTTAGACTTGGATGGAGAGTTGTCTCATTGGCACTCATACCACATCTTCTTATATCTATTAATTACCCTTTGGGTGATAACTGTTGGGATATAAATACCCCAAGTTGACACTTATGACATGACTAATAACACTTGGTCCAGGCGTGAAACATGGACATTGAGAAAATGGAAATCATAAACAATTAGAAGTCTACGTTTGCATCATGACAGAATTGTCTCATAAGAGAAGAATGAACTACGCGGGTACCTCGATGTTGACAAAATGGCTGACCAAACTGAGTTATACCATTACGCATCTTTTATAAGTTGATGAAACAGCAATTTTTCATTTATAAGTAAAGAAATTCAAAAATATAAACGATTTATTTCTTTAGAAAAGAGGTGAATACATTGACTTTACAGATTGGTGGTATGTTATATCAAACAAAAAACTGTTTATGAAGTATTTTCTTTCCCTTTCGGTACTTGTTACTCGAGAGTGTACATTTAACATTATAATTATCAGCAAACTAAGTTTTTTACTTCATTGGAACTTGATGAAAATTGTCTTTAGTTAAAGTTTCATGCATTTATCGAATTTAAAGCGTCATATTCATTCTAAATCGCTTGTCAAACATTGTTTATTTTTTTGTAAATTTTTCTTCGACTGCCATTAGAATATTTGTACAAACTACGGATCGTAGGTGGGATTCATTGGAAGCGGACCAGCTATGACTGAAATCCCCATTCTTACGATAATAACTACAGACAGAATGACAGAAAAATAAGGAAACCAAAAGGGAAAATTACGCATTCCACGCACATTAATAGACTCCTCCTTGCTAAAGGTTTTTATTTCTATGTAAATGCATTGTTTCAATTTACTGATTAAAGTTGCTTAACTTTGTTAAAAATATATATCTTTTTAATGAGAAACAACTGGACCAATAACATTGAATCCCAGGAAATCATGAATTTCATAAACAAAATAAACACAATAGTTTTTTAATTGAATGTTTATTAATATATGATTCTTTCATTTCCCTTTTTGATATGAAAAAAAGTTCTTTTTTGGGCTAGATATTTATTTGGTAGTTTCTGACAAGAGGAAAAATATAATTGTGTAACTATAAATGAATGTTTAAAACATAATCTGAAACAACTGTTATACTTTCATTGTATTCTCGGGTATGAATTGAACAATATAAAGAATAATTAAATGAATAGGATATGGCCCTTTATATTATTGTAAAAACAAACATTGTTTTTTAGTTTCACCACTTCTCCCTTTCAGCATGATCAGTTTCAAAAAGAGAAGTCACTTCTCCCTATGATTATGAAGTAGTGTGAGTCCTGCTACCATGTGTTTATAATTGTTATTATTAAAGTATAAAGTAAAAGAACTTACAATAAGACACATTTGCACACATATAACATATACTTAAAATAAGCATTACAAAAAGGAAATACAGCATTGTTGACACGACAAATGACGTTGAAAAAAAAAACTTTTTATTTTTTTACACCAAATGTGATGCTATTCAAAATTTCTGGGGAGAACACTGGCCTTACCTGCCATTAACTTAGTATCTACTGAGTCTGTGGATTTATTTTTATTTGTGGGATACCAATTTTCTTGGATTCCATGGGTAGGATTGTTATAGACTTTTGTAAAAAAACACAAAATCAAATGTCCAAGAAAATACAATTTTTCCTTAATCCTCAAAAATTAGTATCCACCAAAATAAATGTATCCACAGAAGTTGAAATGAATAAATGAAATCATTGGTTCGTCACATTTAGTCTAGTCATTTGTATTTTAGGTTATGATAATTTATGAACAATTTTCGATTATGACAACTGAAAAATATCATAAATAATGGACATCTCAAATTGTTTTTACTGATTGTGCAAATGAGAGGTTGGCATCTATGTATTTCATAAGATGATTGTCTCATGCATTTCAAACAAATGTTCCTTTTTATTTAAAAAAATATAAAATGTTAAATGAAATTTTACTCTGTAATTAATAGCAGTGTTGATGTTGAATATATAACGATATGAATATGTTGATATTGAGGTGTGATTCCAAAATATGAGGTTGAGTGAATCAGAAAAGTTTCAACCAAATGCAACATGCACACTGAAATGAATTCTAATTGGGTTCATGGTTCTCCTCTGTATGGTAAATTATAGATTTGAAAACGTTTATATAGAATACATATGTACAAAAATATATATCGACTTCTGGTTCATTGAATTTCTTAGACTGCTATTACATGTTCATGTAGTAGTCTAGAGATAGATTTATTATTGTTAATACACTGCACACTATAATTAATATTCAAGATTGAATTCATATAGGCAAAACCTTTCCAGGGTTTGAGGAAAGGGGGGAGTAATTGTCTGTTGTGGTAAAAATAGTGAAGAGCCTAGCCGTAGCAACCTCAAGATCAATATTTTATGCCAAAGTATGATTATTTTTATGCCCCCGCAATAACGGAGGGGGCATTAGGTTTTACCCTTGTCCGTCCGTATGTACGTCCCAAAGTTGGTTTCCATTCTCTAACTTCAATTTGCCTCAGCCAAATGATATGAAACTTATACACAATGCTTATTACCACAAAACACAGATCAAGTTTGAATTTTGGTGGTGTCACTTTAACTGTTCTAGAGTAATGCCCCTTTACAAACGGAAAAATTGCTGAATTTTTCGTTTCCGTTTTCTAACTTTAGTTTGCCTCAACCAAATGTTATGAAACACACAATGCTTATTACCACAAAACACAGATCAAGTTTGAATTTTGGTGACGTAACTATAACTGTTCTAGAGTTATACCCCTTTACAAATGGAAAAATTGCTGAATTTTTTGTTTCCGTTCGCTAAATTAAGTTAGCCTCAACCAAATTTTATGAAACTTATACACAATGCTTATTACAACAAAACACAGATCAAGTTTGAATTTTGGTGACGTAACTATAACTGTTCTAGAGTTATACCCCTTTACAAATGGAAAAATTGCTGAATTTTTTGTTTCCGTTCGCTAAATTAAGTTAGCCTCAACCAAATTTTATGAAACTTATACACAATGCTTATTACAACAAAACACAGATCAAGTTTGTATTTTGGTGGCGTCACTTTTACCGTTCTAGAGTTATGCCCCTTTACAGAATGGAAAAATTGCTGAATTTTTCGTTTCCGTTCTCTAACTTTAGTTTGCCTCAACCAAATGTTATGAAACTTATACACAGTGCTTATTACCACAAAACTCAGATCAAGTACAAATTTGGGTAGGGTCACTTTAAAAGTTTTGAGTTGTGTCCCTTTATAACATTAAATGCAAGCGGGGGCATCATCTGTGTCCCATGGACACATTCCCCATTTATTTATCAAAAAAGGCAGTGTACACCTCAACTGAATCATACACTGTTTTGTGCTATGATTTTAATGAATAAAAGTTAAATCTGATTCTTATATGACGTTCTTCTTTTGCTTTGGAAACAAAGCCATGTTTTAATTGCAATAGAACACGGCCTGCACGTGATTGACGTCACAATTGAAATTGCAATGTCAGTTGTATTTTGAACAATGCCGGAGAACAAAATGGACATCTGTGTTGGTGTTGCTCACTAGGAAATTAAATAAAATCATTCTAAAAGTAAGTTTACATGTATCTGTTCATTTTGTATGAAGTATGAAGAAATTAAAATGAGATAAGATTTGTTCTTGATTTAAAATTTGCAATAACTAAAATAGTTAAGTGTTCACGACTCAAATTTATTTTTGAAAATATTGCATATTTTTGGAAAACTGAAAACTGTATTTGTAAATTTTCAAGACACTGTAATGTCTTTTAAATATCTGAAAGTAAATTGGAAAAGAAAGTTCTTTTTATTTTTCAGTCAGTTCCTGTTTGTTGTGTTATTTTCTATATTTCTGATTGACTGTGTGGATTATGATGTCCTATTTGCCAATATAAAATACAATGGTACACACAAGGTCACAATTCCTGAAGCAGTTATCCCCCTTGATCAATGTGTTCAGAGGTAAGTTTATTTAAAAGAAGTCCTTCAATATTCTATTTCAATTTTCCACATATTTTCTTTCTGAATGTATTTTTAGATCTCATCACAAACATTGGATATTTTTAAAATGCTTATCCTTAGTGCCATATATGTTTGTCAGAATTCTCAAAATCTTTTTTTCCCTGGTGGTCCTTGGAAGAAAATCTGCTTGTCCTCACTATTATTTCTATTGCAAAATTGCAAAATTACGTTGGCTCTTTGCAAAATTTTGATGGTCAAACCATTTGGACCAGCATTTTTTGAGGACTCTGTTCAGTAAACTGAATGTATGCAATGGTAGGGAAAATTTTCCTGCATAATTTGTAAGTATTCAAAATGTATTGATCACCAGCTCAGTTTCTTTGAGCATATAAACCACCAATAACAAGTTTTTATCAATAATGTTTACTAAATGATGAGGATAATTCTGAGATTCTAGAGACCTCGGTGGCCAAGTGGTCTAAGTACCGTAGTAAAAATACTGTATCACTCACTCGCCTGTGAACATTGAGGTTGTGAGTTCGAATCTTGTACATGGAAGGTGTATCTTAATTGACTAGGATGATTAGTTTTCTTGTCCAAGGTCGTCGGTTCTCCTTGGGACTTCATCCACCAATAAAATCTGACGACCACAATATAGCTAATAGTGTTGAAAGTGATGGTAAACACCATCAATCAATCAATCTGAGATTCTACTTTTGCTTTTTGCAATATCTTATATATATATATATACCCTGAATTGTATGATACGTTTATTATAAAGGAATAATCATTGTAACTGAAAGCTTATTTTGTGTTTCTTTAACAGGTTTAGTTTTGGTATTATAGTGTGTATGCTTGTTGCTTTTGCATTCTGGGTGTTCCGAACATTGAAGGTTATATATAATATCTTCAAATACACAGAAATAAGGTCATTCTACAACAATGCTCTGAAGATAACTGCAGTAAGTATAAAATTATATTGGATAATTGATTTAATTTATGAATATGAAATGTTTTTTACTATTCACATCCTTCCAAGAAAATTAATGCATAGATTGTCTAGATTTCAATGTAAAATTATATTTCTGAAATTGATTCTGTTGTTTTGTGCTAAAATTCTGCAGTTTACATGTAAAACATTCTGCAGTTTGCATGTAAAATTCTTTATTGGTCAGGTTTGATTTAGTCCAAAACCATCTTATAGTTGGGTGATTTTATGGGGATTATATATTATATATATTATGTATATTTTAGGTAGAACTATCTAACTTAACCTGGCATGAAATACAAAGAAGATTATTGGAAGTACAGAAGGAACAACAAATGTGTATACACAAACAAGAACTTTCTGAACTGGGTAATTTTGTTCATCTATAGATTAATAGCATTGTAAATCACTTAATTTTAGTAAGCCTACTTTATTGTACATCACATTGATGTAAGTTATTTATAAGGTTACAAAACTTACTTATTTTATCATAATTATCAAAATATACAACTTGATTTTTCTATGCAAAGTAGAAGATATTTCTGAAAGAAACCCCATAGCATCTGATATTATGAATGCTTTTGAAAGTTATTTACAATGTCGTTTTCAACAGTGGATACTTACAGCATTAACATTGTACATATAATTATATGGAAGAGTATAGGGAATTTTAGATATTTCTGCTGATACAACATTTTCCAACAAAAAGTTTTTAACTTGTTTGGCTTACTCCTTTAACATATAATAAACTGTAATATCATTGCCTTTATATAGTAAACATTTTTCATTATTATTTGTATTGTATTTTGTTGCCTTTTGAATCCTTGACTCATTTTGCTTATAGAATTGAAGTGAATCAGTTTGGTATGTTATGAATCCTTGACTCATTTTGCTTATAGAATTGAAGTGAATCAGTTTGGTATGTTATGAATCCTTGACTCATTTTGCTTATAGAATTGAAGTGAATCAGTTTGGTATGTTATGAATCCTTGACTCATTTTGCTTATAGAATTGAAGTGAATCAGTTTGGTATGTTATGAATCCTTGACTCATTTTGCTTATAGAATTGAAGTGAATCAGTTTGATATGTTATATATTCTTCTAGATATTTACCACAGAATACTGAGATTTAAAAACTACATGATAGCTATGGTTAACAAATCAGTGATTCCTGTTAAATTTAACATGCCATTTGTTGGTCAATAGTAAGTACATATGTATAGGATGATATCATTATGCAATAGATATAAGAAGATGTGGTATGAGTGCCAATGAGACAACTCTCCATCCAAGTCAAAACTTATAAAAGTAAACCATTATAGGTCACAGTACGGTCTTCAACAAATCTGTTTTATAAAAATGGTTATCAATTCTGACCAAAGTTTTATCAGATAAATAATCATTTTGAATAGAAAATGAAACAGATTATCTTCATTTAAGAATCTTTAATTAGAGGTTCATTAATTGAATTGCTTCTCTTATGATGGTTTAAATTTTCATTGACAATGAATAGCTAACTGAAAGATCAAATTTATCTGTGTGCAATGTGTGTAATCTTTTCATTTTTCAAATCTTTTTTTTTTAAGCTGAAAACTTTTGATATCAATAGTTATTTCTTTATAACACAACTTGAGTAAAACGCCATAAATATTACTTTCAACTTGTCATGCTTTGCATGGGCAGCAGACCATTTTGCTGAATATAGAACCAGAAGGGAAACAACCTGTGTTAAAAGTTAGTACATGTAATAACAAAAATGAAATCGGTAATTGACAAAAAGACTATTATTACTTGTGATTGACCATTGCTATTTAATTAACTGTTTAACTTTTCTTATTGCTGTTTCAAAACTTACAAAAATGTCACATTTACCAATAGAACAATATTTTAAAATTTTATAGATTGAAGTCTAAATTTTTTATTCATTAGAAAATTTCTAAAAAATTTACTAACAAAAATTAGTGCCTAAACAAATCTAAACTAGTAAAACAATTCAGATAAAATATCTCATATGGCATGGTAATGTTAAAATAAAAAAAATGTTATCTTTGTTTGATATGCATGATAGATTTGTAATTTAAATCTTTTTTTCAGTGCCTTTTTAAGTACAGGATTAAAGTATAATTTAGATATAATTTTATTTTGTAAGTATGATTGACAAATAGGTTAATTTTTAAATAATTGAGGAAATTACAATAGTGCAATTAAACATTGTTGTCCTGTCAGTATCAGGAATTTATTATGCCTTTGGCAGAACAGAAAAACACTTGCTGTAGTCTACTTAATGAGGTCATTTTACACCTTTCTTTATTTCTCTTGGAATGCATTTTTAAAGAATTAAACTGGAAATATGTATCAACTATTTACTTATAAGGAACTCCAACTAAATAATCCTTTATGATTGCAGAATAGTTTTATTTTCATCGATATCATTTAACTAAGAAACATAGTTGTATGTGCCAGACTTTTATTTGCTTGAACTTTGTGGGGGGGGGGGGGGCAGAAATTTTATCTTTTAAAACTACTTTGTGAAGTTTTTATGGCCCCCCCAACAAAGTTGTTGGGGCCATATAGTTTTACCCTTGTCCGTCATTCCATCATTCTGTATTCCGTCATTCTGTCATTCCGTCATTCTGCAACAAACCATTATACAGACTTTTTTTCTAAACGCCTTCAGATATTGGGCTGATTTTTGGTATGTGAGTTAACCAGGATGAGTTACAGATCAAATTTAAGTTTCGTTCCTCTCTGCTAATTTTTGCTGAAATTACAGGCTTTGGACTTTGATAAATTGTTGAAAATCACAGTTATACAGATTTTTTTCTAAACGCCTTCAGATATTGGGCTGATTTTTGGTATGTGAGTTAACCATGTTGAGTTACAGATCAAGTTTTAGTTTCGTTCTGCTCTGCTAATTTTTGCCGAAATTACAGGCTTTGGACTTTGATAAATTGTTGAAAATCACAGTTATACAAATTTTTTTTCAAAATAACTTCAGATATTGGGTTGATTTTTGGTATGTGAGTTAACCATGATGTGTTACAGATCAAGTTAAGTTTTGTTCTGCTCTGCGGATTTTTGCCGTAATTACGGGTTTTGGACTTTGAAAATTGTTGAAAATCACAGTTATACAGACTTTTTTCTTTACGCCTTCAGATATTGCGCTGATTTTTGATATGTGAGTCTACCATGATAAGTTACAGATCAAGTTTATGTTTCGTTCCGATATGCTGATGTTCATATCGTTTCAACACATCTTCGTGTCTTCAGTACATCCACTTCCTGTTTGCTAATAGTTTGAAATTTAACTAACCATTGATCAAGGAAATTTTTCATCAAACTAGTATTGGGCTTGAGAGCTGGATTCTATCCATGCATGTTTGTGTCCACATGTGTTGTTGAAATTGCAGATTTTTCAACTTTTTGAGACGGGGCCATTCGTGTCGTTCCGACACATCTAGCTTTTTTCTTTTTCTACATCTTTCTATGTTGTAGCATATATTGTATAACTAATGATCATGTCTTTCAGGGGGACCATGGTCTCCATTTGAGAACAATTGGAAACTGAAAGAAGAATACAAACATAAACATAGAAGAGAATATCTATCTCAGTTGTAAGTAAATGAAGTGATTGTTTCTGTTTGTAAAGAAACCAGTCATTGTTTCTGTTTGTAAAGAAACCAGTCATTGTTTCTGTTTGTAAAGAAACCAGTCATTGTTTTATATGAAAATAGACACATACCACTTTGGGTACAAAAGAGAAAGTCTTTCATTGCGCTATTTTAACATAAATTTCTGGATCTGCGTAGAATAAATTAGTTAAGCATATCTTGTATTTCTTAAGTTTATAACATTTCATTGTTTTTATTAAGATTTTAATTCAGAATAACTAGTTTTACAATAATTGTTTATGAACTATTTATAGATAGATTTCATAATAGAAAAACAAAGGATATGGGGTATTCATCCATGACACAAAATCAGTACATGCACATAAAAAACACACAAAAAGCAAAGAAACAGTGCGTTTATTGCTGTTCTTCATCTCAAAGTCACAGTGAGGCCTTCAACATGGAGGAAAAAAACTCTCACCTCACTGCAAGTTTAAGACGGCCCCTAGAACCTGTTTGAGCGAAATTCTTTGCAAAATGATTTGGATAGACTTTGTAAGATGTAACACCACAAAATCGGCCTGGCCAAAAAAGAACATACCGGTAAGTAGTACATATTTAAAGCAAAAAAGTTCCTACACATAGGTGTAAATATCAAACTATGTACAATATATTTTAGTAATGAAAGTATCAATTGAAAGGTGAAGGACTGGTGATCCTTGTAGAACACATATTGACTGATAATTTTGAATAACTCAAAAATGTATGAATGAATTCTAAAATTAAGGACATAACATATATTGCCTTTTTCTCAGATATGAAGTACCTGGCTTGGTGTATCCAAAGATCCATTTTCCCCTTGTTTATGTAGTATAATTTTCTTTTCCAGTTTATCACAAAGGATATTATGGATAGGAATAGCCAACTTTATACTGTCACCTGTGATTTTTCTGTGGCAGATTTTATACTCTTTCTTCAGATATGCAGAAGTAAGAACATTATTAAGTTTCAATACTAATATCGTGTATTATTATCCTATTATTTTCTTTCAAGTTTTTTTCAACATTGATATTTGAAAAAGTTTGGATATTCTTTTGATATTTCAAGTTTGATTAGAAATATGAAATGAAATATGCTTTGTTATGCCCAATAATTGACTTATTGATATTTAATAAGTTTTCTTTTTATTAGTCCCCTACTGACGAAGTCGAAGGGGACTTTAGGTTTGCACTCTGTCCGTCTGTCTGTCTGTCTGTCTGTCTGTCTGTCTGTCTGTCTGTCTGTCTCTCTCTGTCTGTCCATCCATCACTCCGGCAAATCTGTTTTCCACACTTTTTTTCTTGATGCTTGAAGATATTGATTTGATATTTGGTATATTGTTTTATCATGACAAGTAATAGATCAAGTTTGAATTATGTTCCGGTCTGATGATTTTGTGCAGAGCTATGGTCCTTGGACTTAGAAAATTCACTCGAATAATCAGTTTTCCGCATTTTTTAGTCATGCTTGAAGATATTGATTTGATAATTGGCATATAGTTTTATCATGACAAGTTACAGATCAATTTCAAATTTTGTTCCGGTCTGATGATTTTATGCAGAGTTATGGTCCTTGGACTTTGAAAATTCCCTCAAATAATCAGTTTTCCACACTTTTTGTCATACTTGAAGATATTAGTTTGATAATTGTTATATAGTTTTATCATGACAAGTTACAGATCAAGTTCAAATTTTGTTCCGGTTTGATGATTTTGTGCAGAGTTATGGTCCTTGGACTGAGAAAATTCACTTAAATAATCAGTTTTCCACACTTTTTTTGTCATGCTTGAAGACATGACTTGATATTTGTTATATAGTTTACACCATGACAAGTTATAGATTAAGTTAGCATTTTGTTCCAGTACAATGAATTTTTAACCGGTAGAGGACTATGTATTGCCATGCAATACACTCAGAATGCTTGTTATATATAGGATAAGGAAATGTATTCAAACTAGTACTTCAATAATTTCATTATTATCACTTTGACAGCACAAGATTTCTAATTTTGAATACAACAGTTTCAGAAATATTTTCAGGCTTGTCCATAAAAACTTGTATTAAGATAGAAAGTACAACCTTACATTTTCAAAATGATTTGATTTTTCATGAATTTACTTTTCCATAGTTAATCAAAAGACAACCTAATGTTCTTGGAACTAGAAGATGGTAAGTTTTAATTATGATATTTTCATGGATTTTTTTTATTGTCGGAATTTTTGCACTCTTTATATCTGACAATGGAAATCAATTAGAAGACGTAGTAACATATTCAAAATGGCTTATGTTGTTTCCTTATTTCTTTAGAGGGAGATGTTCAAATCAAAACTATTGCCATATATTTTGAAATTTGCTAAGCTTACCCCATTATGTAATTCAAAATTTGTTTTTAATTAAAATGTTTGAAAGTAAGCACCATCAAATGCCTTGTATTTACTTTAAGTTAAAGATTTCATAAATAATGTCAAAATTCAAAATAGTATATCATCTTGATAAATTATTTTTTCCACGTCATGATAGCTTTTTTGTGCTGATGCGGCATTTAGAAAAATCAAACAATCTTGATAAATTATTTCAGTCTATCTAGAACTTTATTTAATCCTTATTAAAGTTATTTACCAATTTGCAGTTTATATTTTCACAACAGCTAGTTACTGGAACTTTAAGAATATGATATCTTTTTCTTTTTAGGTCAAATTATGCTAGAATATATGTTAGACATTTGAATGAACTAGATCATGAGTTTACTGCCAGGTAATGCTATTTACACATAGTGTGTTATCAGATATTCTCTTTTAAACTGCCTTGGGGGTCTCGTGCTCGACTTGAGTGTGAGAGGTTGTGGGTTGGAACCCTATCCGGGTTTAAACCAAAGACTTGAAAAGTAGTACTTGCTGCTTGTCAGCTAAGCACACAGCAGTTAGGAATAAGGATAGACTGGGCAGCTCAGCGTCAGAATAATGTGTCCAGGAAGGGTGACATGTCTTTCTGCTGACAGTAACCTTTGTGAACTAGCATGTTAAAAATCAAGCTCAGCGTGTTGGTCTAGTACAAAGCAGGGTTTATATTTCGTATCGCATGATCATGTTCTTGTCCTGAATATGCATGAATATGTTTAGAAGACAGCATACCAGGTTTCCCCTACATTTATTAGTGTCATTGATAAAGCAATTAAGAGCCATAACTGCATTTGTGGAAAAAGGATTGGTTCAACAGTTTTCAAGTTAATCATTCAAAAACTACATAAAGTGCCATTAATCAATGAATAAGGGACCATTACTCATCAACAGCAAAAATGAAAAGCATTGAAATCTATCTTGACTTCCATTATAAATAAGAAGATATGGTACGATTGCCAATGAAACAACTTTCCATCAGAGATAAAATGATATAGAAGGTTAGCAATTAACTCATCATAGATACCTGGATAAAAATTTGTACTTCAGACTTGTGTTTCGTCTACTAAAGACTCATAAGTGACGCTCGAATCAGAAAAGGTTCGAAAGGCCAAATACAGGAGGAAGTTGAAGAGCATTGACCTAAAGTCAGAAAGATTTTTTTCAAATACAAATGTACAGCTAAGGTAATCTATTTCTGGGGTTGAAAATCCATGGTATTTCGGAAAATTCAAAATTAAAGCATCTATAGGTCAGTTTGATATGAGGTAGTATATTTAAACGTATTTTTAGTTGTAGTTTTGGGATTAGAATGACTGTCTAATAGGAAGTGCTCATCATCTCTTCTTTAAAGTGTATGAGTCACATACTTTTTTATTTTCAGACTGAACAGAGGTTATGAAGCTGCCAATATGTACCTTGACACATTTACATCCCCTCTACTGATCATACTTGCAAAGTAAGTGCTGTGTTTGTATTCATTGATGATTTGTATATAAATTCTAACATGATACTATATTGATTACAATGTTGATCCTTTTGAAACAGGTTAATAGTCTTTCTCCTATTAAATGTTTCCTTCAAACTGCATAGGTGGACAAGAAATTACCAAAAAAAAAGGATTAATAAAGTTCACAGAAATAAATATTGGCATTAGGCCAAAAACATATATATGTCTCTTTCCATTTACCTGATTTTTTAATTGTCACCCCATAACTTTTCATTGCTCCACTAAAGAATTATTGAAGAAATAGCATTTTGTATCATTATATTGTATTAATATTAATGGACTACAAAATAATTGGTTGATTTGTTTAGATGAATTTGTTATAAAATTGACTAAATCCTGTGAAAATGTCATAACATTGGAAATTGCAAAAAAGTTCTATATTGTATGCATGAATTACTAGATGTGTACTAGTGTGATCGAATTTGAAGAAAGCATGTCATTTTTTGGATTTTGTCAATAAAAAAATTAAGATAGAAAATAAAAACAAAAATTTCACATGATTTTTATTGACACCTTTGAATTTTCTTCCTTTTTTTTGCTTTTTATAGCTTAATAAGAATTGTCTTTACAGATATGTAGCATTTTTTGCTGGTAGTATAGGAGCTGTGTTGGTTGTGTTAACTGTGATTGATGAAGATGTACTTGCTGTAGAACATATTTTTACTGTATTGACAATATCAGGTAAAGTACACATTCTAGTTATAAGGACAAGTTACAAAATTGAAGGTCTGGAATAAAGGATTAAACAGTTTCATAAGTTATTTTTTCTGTCAGATGATGGATTCTGCATATTGAGGCATTCAACATAGACAACTTAATTTCAAAAAGACTACAATGTAAGTAAAAAAGGTTACATCATGACTTCACTTAATTTCAGCTCAATTTTTGAAACTTTGGAAACAATATCCAATACATTAATTGCAATATAAAATCAACATTGAAAAATTTAACAACTCAGTCAATAACTGAAATTGGATGGTAAAAATTATTTTTATTTCTCTGCACTTGCTTCATACTACCAACCTTTAATTGAAGCCATGAGCTAAAATTGTTTACCAGTTGACCAGTTTGTAGAGATGCAATCTGCAATTTGGATAAACATTTTGGAAACTGCTATTGTGAAAAGGCAAAGCCTTTTGAATATGCACAATAACACAAGACAGCAAGATAGTTCATAAATTATCAAAATGTAATTATTTTATCTTCAGGTTTAATTGTGACTGGTTGTAGAGTGCTGATACCTGATGAGGTATGTTCTGGTGTTGTGTATCTTAATTCAATGAATGCAATAAAGTATGATGTTGTATAGCAATGCAATATTTACTGAAGAAAGTTATGGAAAGTTTGGGTGCAATATTCCATGATATTGCACTACTGCAAATATAGCTTCAAATTATAGACATCATTAGTGACAAAAATATGTTTGAAACAGTTTTTCAAGCTTAACTGTACAATAAAAGGGTTATTGCATGAATATTATCCCTCATAGAATATATATTGTGCTTGCAAGTTCGTGCAATATAAAATTTTACTTGAAACAATATTCACCTGTATTCATGCAATAACCCTGTAATGTTAAATCAACAGAGCAAAGACATTTGATTTATTACGATGTATTGTCATCTCTAAAAAAGAAGAGCCAGCAGTATAAGAGCTTTATTTTCTTAGTCGCTTGACTCAACAAATTATAGAATTGCATAAGTTAACATATAGATAATGAATCTTGTTTTTTGTGCATTATAATCGTTTGCTTGAAACAAATACATTGTCAGCAGGACATCAGAAAGCAAAACAAAACATGTAATAATTATAGATTATCAATGAAAGGGTGTTTCTCAGCTACAATCTCATGGAAGGGCAGCCCTGAGATGAGATGTATCTGAGAAACGTCCTTGAGTTTTGAAAGACCTTTGATAACCTGTTTATCACTGTTTTCCGAGGCAACATCAATGACGTAGGCCCATGATGTCATACATTCTCTTTCTATCGACTGAGAAAAACTATGCTGTTGCTAATAGGCCTTAGATACTAGCAATAATTTTCTATCTCAAGTGAGAAGCATGTTATAATAATTATCACAAAAAATGATCAAAGGAAATATACACAAAAAAGTGATAATTATAACACCTGAGACTCTTTTCACAAAAAATCTTTTAAACGAGTAAAAATACTTGTACATGTAAGTGATACACATTTCAGTATAACTTACAATCAATTTTAATCGTAATATTTTTTGTGAAAAGAGTTGCTGATGTTTTTAGAAATTATCTATCACTATTTTTTTTTCTTTACATTTATATAAGACAATAGCAAAAATGTTCACCTTTTGTCCTCTGCCTTCTCAAGATATCAGTATATTTATATATTTTTAATACTAAATACCGCAACAAGTTTTTCTGAATTTCAAATTTCATTAGATGGCAGTAACATTTGTAATTAATGAATATTTTTCAGCATTTGATATACTGTCCAGAGATTCTAATGAGGAGTATATTGGCACATATACATTACATGCCTGATAGTTGGAAAGGAAATGCTCATAGACAGAATGTCCGAGATGAATTTTCACTACTGTTCCAATACAAAGTGGTAAGAGATGAGTTTAGTCACAATAAATATATCTTTTACCAGTTCAAAATTAAAAGGGGTTAATGAGGGATATATGTGAACAAAGCTTAAATAAACACTTAAGTATTTTAATACGATATGGATTCATTTTTTCCCCTTTTTAATACCTTGCAGAAAAGGTATATTTTAAATTCTACAGAATAATTATGTTTCCTTATTCACTTAAAGGGAAATCACACTATTCATACTACTAATAATAATTCATTGAAATTTTGCATGTAGACAGATCATACTTATTAAGATATTTTAGGCGAAAAAAAAATTTGGGTCACCGATGTTGTTTCCGAGATATGACGTCATCAAAACTTAAAGAATCGCGTTATAACGAAATATAGAAATACCGCTCTAAATTGTTAAAAAAAGACAAACTTATTGAAAAACCATGTTTAACTGGAATAACAAAAACAGTCAAATGTAACTTGTACCTTATGAACATTTATTTGTCTCGGTTTCCTTATTTTTGAAGGCATTTGAACATTTCCCGCCATTTTTAATTGCTATTTATAATAGATTTGAAATAAAAAAATCTACTAATGTTTTTCCCTTCAAACTTCTGCATAAGTTGCAGCTTCAGGGAAGATTTTAAAAGCATAAATAAAAAAGGGGGGTCACCGATATTTTAAATCCGCTAAAACGTAAATAATCTTTATTCATGAATTTTGGCGGGAACTATAACCTTTTAACGTTATAGAATGACATTGCTGGCATAACAGCATTTCTTGCAACGCTTGTGTTGAATTAAACCTTTTCACTACAAAATATAATATCATTTTTGAACATTTTTTAAGGTATTTTGATTATTCATTGATATCTTTATCAATCTATCGAATCGTTAAACAAAGATACAATACTGAACAGTTTATTATAAAGTAATTGTCAAAGTTGAAGTCATCTCATTTTTATACGACCGCAAAAAAATTTTTGTGGTCGTATATTGGTATGACGTTGGCGTCGTCGTCGTCGTCGTCGTCGTTTGGCGTCGTCCGAAGACACATTGGTTTTCGCACTCTAACTTTAGTTTAAGTGAATGGATCTCTATGAAATTTTACCACAAGGTTCAATACCACAAAAGGAAGGTGGGGATTGATTTTGGGGGTTATGGTACCAACAGTAAAGGAATGAGGGGCCAAAAAGGGACCAAAAATAAGCATTTTTGTAACTTCCAGACATAACTTGTGTGTTAGTGTATGGATCTCTCTGACATTGTACCACAAGGTTCCATATCACAAAAGGAATGCTGGGATTGATTTTGGGGGTAATTGCCTCAAAATATTAGGAATTAGGGGCCAAAAAAGGGGCAAAAAAACAAGCATTTTTCTAGTTTCATGACAATAACTTGTGTGTAAGTGCATGGATCTTTCTGAAATTGTACTACAAGGTTCCATATCACAAAGGAAAAGCTGGAATTGAGTTTGGGGGTAATTGCTGAAACGTTTAGGAATTGGGGGCCAAAAAGGGGCCAAAAATAAGCATTTTTCTAGTTTCCAGACAATAACTTGTGTTCAAGTGTATGGATCTCTCTGAAATTGTACTGCAAGGTACCATACCACAAAGGGAAGGTTGGGATTGATGATGGGGGTAATTGCCTCAATATTTTAGGAATTAGGGGCCAAAAAGGGGCAAAAAACAAGCATTTTTCTAGTTTCAGGACAATAACTTGTGTGTAAGTGTATGGATCTTTCTGATATTGTACTACAATGTTCCAAATCACAAAGGGAAAGCTGGGTTTGAGTTTGGGGTTAATTGCCCTAATTGTTTAGGAATTTGGGGCCAAAAAGGGGCCAAAAAACACATTTTTCTAGTTTCCAGACAATAACTTGTGTTCAAGTGTATGGATCTCTCTGAAATTGTACTGCAAGGTACCATACCACAAAGGGAAGGCTGGGATTGAGTTTGGGGGTGATGAATCATAAGGGGGTTCAAAAAATTTGGGGGGGGGGGGGGGGTTTTTTTTCCTTTTTTTTCTTTTTTTTTTCTTTTAAAATTTTCCATTTTAAGTTGGTTATTTCTGATTTATATTTAAAAGCAAATAATAATGATATGGTAGGAGATACACACCAAACAGGATGTGTAAATTATTATATAATAAGTATTGTGCAATAGCAAGAAATTTTCAATTGCACGGTATTGCACAATAGCAAGAAATCTTCAATTGCACAGTATTGCGCAATAGCAAGAAATCTTCAATTGCACAGTATTGCGCAATAGCAAGAAATATCCAATAGCACAATATTGCGCAATAGCAAGAAATTATCAATTGTACAGTATTGCGCAATAGCAAGAAATATTTAATTGCACAGTATTGTGCAAAAGAAGATACTTTGTATAAATTGCTTATTTCTTGACCAATTTCAATGGGGTTTTATTCTTGAATTCTAGGGGTTCTTTAATATGCTGAATCTAACCGTGTATTTAGTTTTTGGATTTTGGGCCCCGTTTTTAAATTGGTCCACATTGAGGTCCAAAGGGTCCAAAATTAAACTTTGTTTGATTTCATCAAAAATTGAATTATTGGGGTTCTTTGATATGCCGAATCTAACCATGTATTTAGATTCTTAATTTTTGGTTCCATTTTCAAATTGGTCTACATTAAGGTCCAAAGGGTCCAAAATTAAACTTAGTTTGATTTTAACAGAAATTGAATTCTTAGGGTTCTTTGATATGCTGAATCTAAACATGTATTTAGATTTTTGATTATGGGCCCAGTTTTCAAGTTGGTCCAAATCGGGGTCCAAAATTAAACTTTGTTTTTTTTCAACAAAAATTGAATATATTGGGTCCTTTGATATGCTGAATCTAACCATGTATTTAGATTTTTGATTTTTTGGCCCCGTTATCAACTTTGTCCACATTGAGGTCAAAAGGGTCCAAAATTAAACTTTGTTTGATTTCATCAAAAATTGAATTCTTGGGGTTCTTTGATATGCTGAATCTAACCATGTATTTAGATTTTGGATATTGGACCATAATAGGTGAATGTCCAATTTAAAATTTTTAAGTTCTTAGACCACATTCATTCTTTGTCAGAAACCTATGTTGTGTCAAATATTTAATCACAATCCAAATGCAAAGCTGTATCAAGCTTGAATGTTGGGTCCATACTTGCCCCAACTGTTCAGGGTTCGACCTCTGCGGTCGTATCAAGCTGCGCCCTGCGGAGCATTTTATTTAAATTGCATTTGTTGTATGGGGAAAACGAATGTTTGCCTCATGCCGTATTATAGAAATAATTTTCGGCTTCCAGATAAAGAATCTTCTACCTCGGAAGACTGAGGGTATCCGGGCTGAAAAGTAACACGTTCCTTTTAGACTGCAGGCAGAATAATTTCGTTACCATAATTTCACTAGCTTGTCCATTCACACCGGGAAGATAAAACCTGAAATGCTGTGTAAAAAATGGCACAAACTCAGCACGTTAAAAGAAACCTATTTTCGGTAGGAATTTAAAATTGGCTCCGTAATTACACAACGCTTCATAATTTATTCGAACTGTGGAAACCAAATTTTTTTCTGAGTTCTATCATCCCGCACCCATTTTTCATACATCGTTTCATGTTCATTGTACATAATATGTTCAATGTTCATCGCCTGTGTATTAAAACTTTATGTATATTTTATAACCGTTCGATTAATCGCTCAACGTTGGTATGTTATGAGAAATACAATGCATCTGATAATTTAGAGTTAATTGACAATGAAATACACATCGCCATATTGATATCAGGAACATATAATATTCCCAGTTGATATGTAATAAAAAAATCTTTTAATTTGTAATAAATGGATCTAGTTTATTTTCTTGTTCTGCTACATCTATCCGTGTTTCTGTGGACATGTCGATATATTTTATCTAACTCTAGTTTTTTGTTGAGCCTTCTACTTTAGTCGAAAAAGCGAGACATAGCGATCCTACATTCCGTCGTTGTTGGCGGCGGTGTCCACAAATATTCACTGTGGTTAAAGTTTTTGAAGTTTTAATAACTTTCTTAAACTATCCTGGATTTCTACCAAACTTGACAGAAGCTTGTTTATGATCATAAGATAGTATCCAGAAGTAAATTTTGTAAAAATAAAATTCCTGTTTTTCCATATTTGACTTATAAATTGACTTAGTTTTTCTGCCAGGAAACAATACATTCACTCCGTGGTTAAAGTTTTTAAGATTTCAATAACTTTCTTAAACTATCCTGGATATGTACCAAACTTGGACAGAAGCTTGTTTATGATCAAAACCTTGTATCTCGAAGGAAAATTTGTAAAAATTTTGTACCTGTTTATCCGTATTTTACTTATAAATGGACTTAGTTTTTATTCCAGTTAACATTACATACAGTATGCAGTTAAAGTTTTTAAAACATTTATTAGATCCATAAACTATCCTAGATTTATACCAAACTTGGACAGAAGCTTCTTATAATCAAAAGATAGTAACGAGAGGAATAATTTTATTGATTTTTTCCTCATTTTTGTTGAGCCTGCGATTAACAGCAAAAGTAGGCGAGACACTGGGTTCCGTGGAACCCTTACGAATTTTTTTATCAGATGACAAATGAGAGTGTGGATAACCTTTGATGTAGAATAAGAGTTCGAGTTCCAGCTAAATTTAGAGTTAAAGTTTTATTTTTAGTTCGAATGTTTATTCGAGTAACAGTTCTAGTTAAAGCTCGAGTTCAACTTAGAAACTTCCGAGTTATACTGTAAGATCGAATAAATTCTGGTAAGAGTTAAAATTTTGAGATCTGACATAGGATGAAATTAAAAGAAAGATTGCAGTTTCTATTTTCTGTTGGTGCACCTCTCTTTCTTGAATTGTATATTCTTTTATCACATTTATGTTTCAGTATGGTATAGCCTATATACTTTGTTTGCCAAAACTGATTAATGATAGGTAATTTGAAAATAACTGATTGATTGTGTGTGTGCCACTTTCAGCACTCTGCTATATCATGTTGGCCATTTTTTTTTAAAGAACCAAGGTATCAAGAGTAAATCAGCTACCTTTGTATTAAACAAATGGTTGTCCTTTACAGTCATGATCGGAATCTGACAATCTCCCTATATCACTGTTTGTTGACAGGCAAGTAAACACATTGAGTGATCTGAACACGAACCTACATCTGAATTACTAGTTTTTGTTTTGTTTTTGTTTTCGTTTTTTTCTTGATTTTTGCAAAACTTTCAGTGGCAAATATTACATGAATATCAGAACAAAATTTTTTTCTATATGAGATGAATAATCTTTCACAAGATGGACCTTAATGTGATGGTTACAGATTAGCACTCTGAAAGACATGTTACTCTACATAAATACATGTGTGTGTGTGTTAAATATTTCTCTTGTTGGAGTCTTGAAAAGCCAAATATACAGTGTGGATTTTTTGTTGTTGTTGTAGGCAGAACGGTCATCAATAGTACAAAAATAACTAGGCATAGTGTTTGATATTCCCAGATTGCTCTGACGTCTAGCGGCCTTATTTTTTAACTTGCTGGTCGTACAGTTCGCTTTAATTGACAGTTTGAAGAAATACTACAAAATATGATTTTTTTTGTGCCCAAATTATGTAAGCCTGTACAAAGCATTAAAGGAAGATTGCGTATAATGTACTATATAATACGGTGCTAAATTTTCTTTGATTTCGACAGCCAGCAACCGATGTAAAATTTTGTATGCTTCTTTTACAGTGATGTTTAACTGGCGTTATTCTTAAATAACGTTTGATATTTCAACAAATATGATTACTCTACGAATCACTCGTGTTCATGTGTTTGTGCCCCCCATACCCCACTCCCCCCAAAAAAAAAGAAACAGAGAGAGAGAGAGAGAGGCTTTTGACACCAAAGGAACATTGAAACTCATTGTTCTTATTTACATCCATCTGTTGGACAGAAAACTACAAATTCCGGAAGCTGTACGCTTACATGCTGTTACTCTTGGTATATTGTTATTTTTTCCAGTATATTCCCACATACCGCATCACGACGATACGCTGCCAACAGTTGGGTTACACTAATGACAGGACAATTGCCCGTATTGACCGGATGAGATATAAATAGTCAGAACTTTTTTGTTATAATATTTGAAGACCTTAGAAATATTAGACTATATTTTATGAAAATCTAACAAACAAAAAAAAGTTGACCGGACGGATTTCACACTCACTGATGTACGCTTAACAATATTGAACTGATCAACAAAAAGTGTTACTAGTAATATCTCTTTTGTTTTACAATATTTTTTCATACAACTAAGAAATCTGTGAGATTAATAGTTATCTTATATGAAAATTTAAACTTCATAGTAAAACAAAATGTTTTTCTAAAAAAAAAAGTTGACCGGACGGATTTCACATTCGCCGATGTACGCTTTGATTATACTGAAATGATCGACAAAAAGTGTTATAAATATCTCTTTTGTTTTTAAATATTTTTTTTCTTCGTGAAACTAAGAAATCTGCGAGATCAATAAATATGTTAATATATGAAAATATAAACTTTACAGTAAATAAAAAAAGTTTTTCTACAAAAAAAAGTTGAGCTGACGGATTTCGCTACAAATAATAAAGACCAGATCAACAAAAAATGTTGATATTTCTCATATCTAACAATATTTTTCGGTGAAATTGATAAACCTTTAAGAAAAACAATTGTATAAATGGTATTGTATGTAAATACTAACTCAATAATAATAATAATAATAATAATAATAATATCTTTATGTAAAGAGAGTAACTCATTTGAATTAAACCCAATCGTAAGGTAATTCAAGACCATATCAAGACCACTTTCGGCTACTTTTTTGCCATACATTTTGTCCGTTTCGAGTAGCATTTTAATTTTTTGCACTTAAATCAAAAGGTCATTTGCTTTCTCTTGCTTTAGTGAACGTCCCTTTGAGCGGGCCGCCATTTTAGAAATTAGCAACCTTTACGACAGACTCGAAACGGCGACGTCATAATACGGTCACGACACTATAGCGGTGCCGAGAGCGATGCGTATAAACAATAGTGTAATTTCCCTTTAATATGTTTTCCTTACTCACTTATTATGTGAATTTCTTAATCTTTCTCTTGTTGACTTGGTGAGCTTGTATCATCTTACATCCATGTAACATTTAAACCTGCAAGTATAAAGGTAGTAAATAATTGTATGAAATTTATTATATTATTTCATTTTACATATGATTATTTTCACAGGCATATCTATTAGAAGAGCTATTCAGTCCCTTGATAACTCCATTTATCTTGTGTTTCTCACTGAGACACCAATCTCTACAGATCGTAGACTTCTTCCGTAACTTCACAGTGGACGTAGCTGGTGTTGGGGATGTTTGTTCTTTTGCTCAAATGGATATTAAAAAACATGGAAATCCACAAGTAAGATTGAAATCAGATTAGTACTAGTTAAATATAACATCAAGGAATAGTCAGTCTCTGTTGGATAAAGAAAATTATTTTAGGTTCATATTTGATTGACTAATCTTCAAAATATCTGGATGACATTTCAAACGAGATTTGAAGTGATCCTGACCAATTCAAATTTTATAAATTCAACAACCAAATTGGGAAAATGTTACTTTTATTAAAATATCCTTTTATACAAGATTATAAAATTGCTTATTATAAAAACAAGTATAAAACAAATATGAATTATGAAGTTTAAAAATATTTGGAGTGCAAAAAACAATTACGAATTATGAAGTTAAGAAATATTTAGAGTGAAAGGGAGAGGAAAAAAAGAATGGAAGAGTAGGGGTTGGTAGGTGGACAGCAGACAATGAAGAAATGTGGATTGTAATAACATATGAACAAAGAAAAGAAAAAGGTCATGTGATTATCTTTGCTGTTATGTTTTGAAATTGTAAAATGAAGTAACAATTTTAAATTTCTTTGATATTGTGCTACATAAACAATTGTTGTTGATTGTCTTCATGATTATCAAACGTGTATAAAAGAGTGTCTTATATACTTTTCAGGAAACAAATATTCAAGAAACTGTCATTTTATTGTATATTTATTGTTTTATATGTTAAAACATTCAACTAGAATATACACCCTTAAGACAGCTTATTAATATGATAAATTCATACTTATTTTTCAAAAAATTGTAAGTGCCAGTATGGATGACTAAGAATGCGCATTGATGAATATATTTTATAATTTGTTATATGTTTGATATATTTGTATGGATTTTATCATCTGTCGTACAATTGTTTTAAGTGGATACCAAACACTGAAGATGAACCAAGTAAAGAAAACCAGTCAGAAGGTGGCAAAACTGAATTATCTCTTATGCACTTTCATGTAAGTAATATGTACAAGCTATCAGTGAAAGGTTTAACATCCAGTGACAAGTTAAATGCATGTTCAATGCAAGAAAATGTTAGTCTTTGCTCTTACTCCGAAATGCCACATGCTTAGCGGAGAAACAGCAAATACCAATTTTCAAGTCTCTGGTTTGACCTGGTCGGGGATCAAACCCTGACCTCCTGCACTCAAGGCAAGCACACTTATGAGTAAAAGGCAATGTGGAATCAACAATGATTTAGCATCACAACAGGACAAACAGATAAAAAAAACACCTCCTCAGGTCAACTTATAGTCTTTAATTGTAAAATGAGTTTGTACCATTAGTTTTTGTCGAGCCTGCGACTTTTGTCACAGAAAGCTCGACATAGGGATAGTGATCCGGTGGCGGCTGCGGCGGCGTTAGCTAACTTCTTAAAAGCTTTATATTTTAGAAGGTGGAAGGTCTGGATGCTTCATACTTTGTATATGGATGCCTCATGTTACGAAGTTTCCGTCAGTCACATGTCCAATGTCCTTGACCTCATATTCATGGTTCAGTGACAACTTGAAAAAAAAGTTAAGATTTTTTGTAATGTTATATTCTCTCTTATTATAAGTAATAGGATAACTATATTTGGTATGTGTGTACCTTGCAAGGTCCTCATGCCCGTCAGACAGTTTTCACTTGACCTCGACCTCATTTCATGGATCAGTGAACAAGGTTAAGTTTTGGTGGTCAAGTCCATATCTCAGATACTATAAGCAATAGGTCTAGTATATTCGGTGTATGGAAGGACTGTAAGGTGTACATGTCCAACTGGCAGGTGTCATCTGACCTTGACCTCATTTCATGGTTCAATGGTTATAGTTAAGTTTTTGTGTTTTGGTCTGTTTTTCTTGTACTGTATGCCATAGGTCTACTATATTTGGTGTATGGAATGATTGTAAGGTGTACATGTCTAGCGGGCAGGTGTCATCTGAACTTGACCTCATTTTCATGGTTCAGTGATCAAAGTTAAGTTTTTTGAGTTTTGGTCTTTTTTTCTAATACTATATGCAATAGTTCAACTATATTTGGTGTATTTGGCAGTCACGCAGGTTTTATTTGACCTTGACCTCATTTTCAAGGTTCATTGCTCAGTGTTAAGGTTTTGTGTTTTGGTCTGTTTTTCTTAAACTATAAGCAATAGGTCAACTATATTTGTTGTATGGAAGAATTGTTAGCTGTACATGCCTGCCTAGCATGGTTCATCTGACCTTGACCTCATTTTCATGGTTCATTGGTCAATGTTTAGTTTACTTGGTTAATGTTAAGTTTATGTGACAGTTGTAATAAAGCTTTATATTTAGGACTATCAACATAATATCAATGATTAGTAAAGAAGGCGAGACATTTCAGCGTGTGCACTCTTGTGTCTATTTTTTTGAAATTTTGAATTTGAAATTAGCTGATAGAGATGGTATAGCCATAACCAGAATTTCAGAATTATCTAATCAAAGTGTGGTTAGCTTGATCTTGGTTCTTCATTGGATTAAATTCATTTGTGATGTCAAATTTATTTACTTTCGTCTGATATCACAATATATGACAACACGAAAAAAGGCAGCCATGCCTGATCATATTATATAGAAAGAAGACTATTTTTTGCAGATCCTTGAAAAAGACAATGGAATTTGTATATCATTTGAAAAACAAGATTCCACCACTGATACACAATTTTTTAATCAATATGTAAATATTTGTCAAAATTTTTGGTGTTTGGTGTATTTAGAATTTCTTTAAAAATTAAGGTTTCAGAGATACCTGGCAGCATTACAAGAAATTGTGATATTTTTTTACATTATTTTAGATGACAAATCCAGAATGGAAGCTGACAGGAAACCGCAGTATTTTTGTACAGAATGTTAAAACGCAAGGTAATATTGACAACGAAAATATGTCTCATAACAGATACAATTTTATTGTCTCGCCTGCGAAGAAAGTCGCAGTATGTGAGACATAGGTATTACTATCCGGTGGTGGCTGAGGCGGCGGCGTAAACTATTTGTACAAAGCTTTATATTTCAGAAGGTAGAAGACCTGGATGCTTCATATCTTGTATGCAGATACCTTATGTTACGAAGTTTCTGTCTGTCATATGCCCATTGTCCTTGACCTCATTTTCATGGTTCAGTGACTGCTTGAAAAAAAATTACAGTTTTTTGTCATGTTAATTTCTCACTTATTATGAGTAATAGGATAACTATATTTGGTATATGGGTTCCTTGCAACATCTACATGTCCGTCAGACAGGGTTAACCTGACCTCGACCTCAATTCATGGATCAGTGATCAAGGTAAAAGTTACGTGATAAGGTTCGTTTCTCATATACTACTTGAAGCAGGTCAACTATATGTTGTGTATGGAATGATTGTAAGGTGTACATGTCTGTCTAGCCATCTGACCTTGACCTCATTTCCATGGTTCATTGGTCAACAATAAGTTTTGTGTTTTGGTCTGTTTTTCAATTACCATAAGCAATGGGTCAACTATATTTGGTGTATTGAATAATTGTAAGGTGTACCTGTCTGTGTGACAGTTTTTATCTGACCTTGACCTCATTGTCATGGATCTTTAAAAATGTTAAGTTTATGTGATACTTGTAGTAAAACCTTTATCTTTAAGACTTTCAGCATAGAATAATTAAATCAATGGTCAGTAAAACAGGCCGGACATTTCAGCGTGTGCACTCTTGTTTACTTTAACCTTGACATCAATAACTAAAGATTTGGCCTGTAGTATAATCACTCTGTCTGTCTGTATGTCAACACTTCTTTGTCCTATGATAAGTCTAGATTAACTCAAACAATTTTCATAATCGATATACACCGTGTTTATATCCATTAAAGAAAGGCCAGTTTTGTTTTTTGTGAAAACTGGAGGGAAAAAATGAAGTAAAAATTAAAGTTTGCTGAAAATTTTTTGATTTTGAAAAAAACATGTTTTTGTGCTAGGATTGATATACAGGTATAAGATGCTCTTCCAATTGATTCCTAGTGTAAAATGTACAGAATTTTCTGACTAGGTAAGTTTTAGAGTCACTATTTGAGATATAATATTTATATATTTCCAATAGCGTTGCATAAGCATCCATACATCTCAATGTTCCCTGCACCTAATTCATGCTTCTTTGACTTGTTAATTTCAAACTATTCAAACGTTATTGTTTTTTAAACAAGAAAACCTTGCATTCTAAAGTTTGGTAACATTATTTGTATGGAGCCTTTCCTGATATCACAATAATTAATTTCTCATTTTTTGTCAAATGTTCAACATTCGACAATAATAAATGGACGCAAAATTTTTGAACTTACAGTAGTAACATAATATTAAAGAGAATACTTTATGTTACAGTCCAAAAGGAACTAGTTTCACCCAGTATTATGCAAGGTGATGGAGGTTTAATGACATCAAGACTCCCAGGAATGTCTTTAGGCATGTTACCTTCTGTCAACACTACAGGACTAGGATTAGGGGTGAGTGACCATTATCTAATATTACAGCTGTTGAATAGACATATTTACACTTTTAGGTGTTTAGCTGAATTTACTCCAAATTAAATAAGATCTGTCTCCTAATAACCTCTGTTGTCATGCAATGTTTACTTTTTAATTATGATGAAAAATTTTACGGGAACTTGTTTTACTTTAAGTGATGGCGGACAAATTTGCATACAAGTGTAAATACGTTCATAAGAGTTCAAGTAATCAATTCATATTACAGGTGTTTTAAAAAAAAAATTAAGTTGAAATTATCTTTATTTTTCCAAGTAAGGAGCTGACATTCAATATCAATTGAGGTAAATGGCCAAGTTTTTGGGTAAAGATTGCACACTATTATCTATTATTTAGTAAACCTAATCCAGACCCTCATTAATCATTCACTGTCATATTTCATAGATTTACCTCAATTGACAAAAATACTAGAGAAAAAACCCAACCAAATTCAATACATTTTTTTTCCTTGCAGTATAACAGTTTAGCTTCCAGTATTACTATGCAGAGTGCCATGTTTCCTGGTCAGATCTCAACCCTAGCATCAGGTGTACAACCTCGTCTTAGAGGTGGACTGTCACATATTGAGGGTCCCCTTGGGGGATCAGGATCTGGAATATTTAGCAGTATGCAGAGTTCAAGTGGTAGTATTAGCAATACAGCACCAAGCTCATTAAGTTTTAGGGGAAATTATGATGAAGGGACGATTGAAATGTTGTCGCATGACATGAGTTACAGTGCAATCTATCTCCATGACATGCAGTTCAGAAAAGCAAAGGGAAATAATCAGTATGAGACATTAGAAGACGCCCGTGCACGCTCAATGTGGCAGAGACAGGATAGTAACCAACCAACAGTGAGTACAATGCCCAACATACAGGAAAAATCAAGTGAAGAGGAAAGTACAGAAGAAGTCAATACTGACAAACTATTCACTTCTAATCAGGTGTAGTGAAGAAACAGAACCTTGAACAATTCTTTGTTGTTGAAGCTCCATGAATCAGTAAGCTTGTGTGTAAGTGCTAAAAAGCCTTTGATATAGGTTATTTCTTTTCTAGATTACTGTAGATTCATTATTATTCACTGGGTACTTAATTTTCATGTATTTTGTGGGTATAGATGATCCAAAAATTTAAATGTTCAACAAAGTATGAATTTCTCACAGGATTGTATGCAAACTTTGGCAAAACCACAAAATCAAGTATCAACAAAAATTTAATTCTTCTTTAATCCACAAAAATTGGTACCCATGACAAAAAATGAATCCACAGTATTATGAAAGGGGAAACGTATACATGCCTGATTGGCAATTCAAAGCAGAGCTGTCAATCATAGCAGCTGATATAGTTTGTGAGTTAAGCTGTTTGTTTTACATTTATCTTAGCTGACAGTGTTGTGATTTAACCATTATGTGTGTGTGAATTACCTCATTTTATTGTATTGTAGCAGCACAAGTGATATGTTATGTAATAAAAATTAATTTTAATGCACCACTTTTTTGTTCAGAAAAATTGTGCATTTTTTGGGGTATACCAGTAATTGTAAATTTAAATTAACCATGTACATGTATGAATACAACTTTATTGTTCAATTGTTTATATCACACAGGAAGCATGTATTTGAAACATTGATCATTTTGTTATAATGACCAAAGACTACCAGTTAAGAAGGAAAAAAAAATTAAAATGTTTTGGAATATGTAAAAAAGCATATTTCAGACCTGTTAGTTTTTGTTTCTCAAACAATACTGGGCCATGTATGACACTTGCTACTCACCAGAGTTCACCAAATAATTGAAAAATTTTGGTCTAACTATATGTGGCCAAAAGAGTAGTGAGTACAATGGCAGAAATTTGAACAGTGCATGGCTTTCTATGGTATACAACTTGAATAATGAATTTTGTGTTTTGATAATCCATGACAATTTAAATCCACTGAATTTATATCTGGAATTTTACTGTAGAATTTTTCTCATGAGTTTAGTAACATTTGTAGACATGATAAGACTAAAGATGAAACAATAAAACCTGATTACTGCCTTTCATCATTGAAGTCTACTGGTCATACAGGTCTGTAACTTTTGAAAAGGTGATGACTTGATCCAGGTGATAGAACTTGAAAGCATCTTGTGGCACACTGATTCAGAAAATAATGATTCCAGTCAGATTTTATGGAATCATCTTACAACACTCTTGAATAATAAAACTTTCATTTATCAATATAATACTAAATAGATGTGGTGTGATTTCCAATTAGGCATCTCTACAATAGAGACCAAAGGACAAGGATGTAAACAACTACAGTATGATCTTCAACAATGAGCAAAACCAAGATTGTTTACTGTGGATTCATTTATTTTTGTGGGTGCCAATTTTCATGGCTTGAAGAAAACCTGCATTTTCATGGATATTTAATTTCGTGGTTTTGTTGAATTCTGCATACAAACTTATAGAAAATGTATCATTCGTTGAACATTTAAACATGTGGTTCACCTGTGCCCACGAAATCCTTGAAAATTGGTATCCAATGAATAATAATGAATTCGTTATATAAAAGCCCCCAGCATAAAAAATGTTAAAAAATTAAAACTAAAAAAACATTGCCTGAATTATGCTTCAATTTTTATGACAGCTGGAAACCAATGATAATGACTTGATGCAAGCTTTGCCAGCTTATTTAACTGAACTTCATTATTCAAAGTCCTGTTCAATGTCTTATATTAGATTTATTGGCCAGTTAAAAGACTCATACTCAATTATCTATATTTTTATTTGTTATAGATTTAGAAATTTATGCATGTTTTTATAGATGTGAATCTCTTGTCAACAACAAAAAATCTTGGATTATTGCAATTTAAGTGCAAACTAAAAAATAAATGAAAAAGTGATTTTCATTACTAATTCTATTGTGAACAGGTCAGTGCTTTCTCAATTAAAGCATTGCAATAATTTGTCTATATATATTTATTTGATTCTTTTATTCTTATATGTGATTAGCCAGTTTTTTTTTTGCTGAAGGTTTGCAGTTCACTCTGTGTACTTTGCTTCCTCTACCAAAAAAAAAAAACAACAAAAAAAAAACAGACTGCCATATATGTATGATATAGCAATGGTTGTTGAAAGTGGCATTAAATACCAACAAAGAAACAAATAAACATCATACATGTCATATGTGATTTCTTATTTCTATTAATGTATATATATATATATATGTGGGAAAAAACCAAGAAAAAATTTGAAGTAAAAAAGAAGCATTTACTGATGATTTTTTCATGTCAAAACTTGATTAGTTACTGAAATGATAGCTAAGTTCAGTTGTTAAGCACTTTACATAAACTGTATTCAAGCTCATGAATTTACAAAAAAACTTTAAAAAAAAAGATACTTGAAAAGAAGTTTGAATCAAATATTATGCTCAATTTAGTTTGCATTACCCTTGTATAGTTCCATTTAAAACCCTTTACTGTCTATTGTAAATGAAACAACAAAGAACCACAAAAAAGCGACAAGACTGTGTGATTTTGTCTGTTTGTAGAAACCAGTTACACAATACTATACAAATCTGTAATTTTGTTGATTTTAGATGTAAATGTTGAATTGTTATGAAACAAAACTTGTGAATAGTTTTATTGAAAACATTTTAATGTTATGCTGATATGTAAAATAAGACTGCTTTTGTTGTTAATAGTGATATATGACATATATTTGGTGTTTTCAGTGTGTGTTAATGTGTATATCCATTATATCACATATTCTTTGTAAATATATTCATGTTATGCCTTATATGTGATATGCAGTGAACTGGTGCAATACTGTATTTTAATAGGTAATAGTTTGTATAAATGGTACTAGATCAAGATATCCAAGAAATCAATGGGCTTTTAAAGATTCAAAAGTTGTTTAAAACCTAAAGCTTGCTGGATGATGTAAGTAATCTGGTAAATTCCCTATTGTGACTATTGTCCATTATAAAAATATGTGAATGAAGGCTGTTATTAAAGCTGAAAGATTTATCAAAATAATTAGATATTTCACTATTTGTATTTCTGGTAAAATAAACCAATGGTTTACAGATGACACATTTTATTATTTTGAATGCAACATTTCTACTTTAGCATACATACTATTGAACACGAAATACATGTGTGATTTTGAAATTTTTATATGTTTTAATTTTAATCATAATAACAATGTTTATAAAAGGTTTAATTTGACCCTTTAGTGGTGGTGATAGAACTTTAAGTGTTTTATTTAATGTAAAATCAATAAAAATAAATGATTGTTGAAAAAAACCAGTTTCTAACTATGTTGTAAAAAGTAAGTTAAGCATTTGACAATTTTTATGCAACCCTTAAGAATAAAGCATATAGTGGTTAATTTTTTTATCTGAAACAAACGATTTCTGTATTAAGATCAAGGAGAAATCATTAATTTGTTTTAAATAGCCATAAATTCTGGTAAACTATTTAAAGCCAATTGCTCATGGGCTTTTTGGTCTTATATTGTATGATTAAGAAGAGCTTCAAAGTTACTTGGTTTTGGAATCATATGACCCATTCCTAAGAAATAAATACATGGCTTAAAATAAATTCAACAAATCTGAGGTTCCTGCATTTTTTGGTAACTTTCATAATAATTAAAGGATTTGAGCTACTTTTCGGTTTGCAGTCGTATTTAAAGAAGAACTACATATGTAATTTAAGCTATGAAAAATAAAAGCATAAGATCACTTAAATCCATTTAACTATTAGTTCCGTTATTCAGTTTGTTTCTCCTTTTTTTTCTTTAAAAAATAATATTGATCTATGGAAAAAATTTTGTTTATTAAGAACATGCAGTTGTTGAGCCAGATGCCGAAATCAGGTGGTTTTATAAAAGGCTTTGTGGTGTGAAGGAATTTCAAATTTTGAGATTAATGCGCCAGTGTCAAGGAAAGTTGTAAAATTGAATATGAAATCCTCATTTTATTCCACTTGACCAAGTATATATGCTTGAGACATAAAAAGGACTGTTACCTGTTTGAAGTGCAAATTATAAACTTTCACTGGTTATGATAACATACAATTCTAAATTTACAAATAAGAAAAAGAAGTTATCATCGTAAAAAATAAAATTGAATTTCAATATTCAAGGAGTATTTATGTCAAACTTTATAGTGATTTCCAATTGATAATGAAGGATTTATCCATGAAACCAAATATCATGGAGCAATTGGAATGAAGTCCATCTTAATACACAAAGGATGACTGCTCTAAATTTGTCCTATAAAAACTCACCAAAGATAGGTTTTACTCTTATATCTGTCAAATAACTATCATTATCGCAATTTCGTGCAAATTTCCTTTGATCTTTTCTTGTGATAATTTTTCATATCATGCTACTTGCTTGATATAGAAAATTATCGTCAGAAACTAAAAGCGCATGTGCCGTTGTCAATGTAAACATAAACGACGTCATAGGCAAAATAGCGATAAACAGATTATCAGTGGTCTTTCAAACTTAAGGATGTTTCTCGGCCACATCTCATCTGAGGGCTGTCGCCTTTCAATGAGATTGTAGCTGAGAAACACCCTCTTGTTTGAAAAACAATTGATAATATATAATCACTGCCCTTTGAGATGTATTTGTTTTCGTAATCTAATTTAGTAACTTAGAATGGAATATTTAATTATCATCTACCTTCCTTTTAGTCAACAGCAAAGATAAAAGAATTTCTTGCACATGATTCCCTGGACTTGATATTTTGTTTGCATGAACTTCCTTGTAAACAGGAATCGAGATTTATGTGTGATGGTTTTTGATTTAATAACATGTCTGCATCAATCTATTATACTTGCATATTTGTTTTATACATTTGAAAATTGAGATAAATTTTTCTTGGTGGATCTTTATATTCTAATCATATTGTGCAAGCATATAAATTATTATCATTGTTATTTGCTGTAGTCATTTAAATAAACAAGATTGTTATGTAACAGATTTTTTTTTATGTGTCAGTCAACAGATGAGCGATACAGGTTCATTGAAGCCTCTAGTTTTTGTTCTCTTTACCTGCTTTCTGATTTGGAGATTCTGTCAGTTCATCCTTCAGTCCCTAATTTGTTTCTAATGCTCCTCCTGGACCGCTTTTATACAGCAAAAAAACTTACTTACATGATATACATTCGCACATCCTATTTCATTTCTTCATCTTAATGAAATCTTGATTAACTTTGGCCTGTCAATGACTTTGTTGTATCCAACCACTACAGTGCACACTTGAATCCATATCTTCCTTGAAACCCCTTATTAGAATTTAATGAAACTTCCACAATATAATGTCATTGTGCACCTTTTTTGTTATTCAAGTACATTTATTTTGGTTTCCCTTATCAAATCTTGGACTAAGCCAATGCATTACCCTAGGGATTACCATTTTACTTTAACAAGTTGCTCATAGTATCTCTATTTTCTTTCATATAAGTCTGTGATGCATTTGTAAATGAATGATACAAGAGTATATGACAACTGAATAATGGTAACCTTTTTTGAAATTGAAATTTTAGTATAGTTATAATTGAAGAAAAGAGAATAGAAATATATTTTCATAAAAATCATATTTAATGTAAGAAAAATCCCCAGAACAAGTAGATAAACTTGAAAAATGCACCTGCTGGTTTAGTTTACAAGTTAAGCTAATGTAATAACCATCTAATTTGTTAATATCTTGAAATTAACTTTAGTTCTAGGAAAAATAACAAAAAAGGAGGCCTGACTGCAACAACAGCATCCAAGTATGGAGAAATGTTTAAGAAACAAGAGTATGTGTCTTTTTTGACATCATGTCCAGCTCACACTATCACATTTGCATGTTCAGATAACTGCGAAATCTGGGTCATAACACTAACTTGGACTAGACTTTCCGTTTTGAATTTTCCTTGGAGTTCGGTTTTTTTGTTAATTTACTTTTTGGACTAAATTTTAAAAAGTTCTCACCATACTGAATTATAGTGTACTAAGTTTGTTGTTCATGTGACCACAACGTTATTTTTGACTACCTTTAACCAAACCTGATACATTATAGCTTATATGAGACAAACAGACGCTCTGAACTGAAAATATAATGTCCCTTCCTACTATTGTACGTGTGGCATAGAAAAGTCAATTATTCTAAACATTATTTGTATTTGTATGGATATGCCACGTTAGTTTGTTCTTTTCTGTGTGAGTAATACGTAAACGTATATTATGAAGATCCTAGCTATGTACAATTTTTTTTGAATGACCTTTATCAGGCGAATTCAACATCAAAAGTTTGAAAAGCCATCTCCAGTTTAGAAACTTTAAATCCAAAATTATCTGAGAAAGAACAGCCTAAATTTTGTAAAATGAGCTTTTACAAGAAGTATTGTTTGTTTTTATCGGACAAAACCATCATAGCCACACTGGTTTTTAAAACAGTTCTAGATATATCGAGTAACATTGAGTAATACTTTTTACTGATACGAAATACATGTTTTTATCATTGTTGCTTTACAGGAAATTTTTTTACCTTCTCTCCCTCTTAAGAAACAGAGACACTTTTTTGAACACTGAATATTTTTATTTACACACTTTATTATATGAACTAAAATAAACAGCTAAGTTTCATAGAATCATGTGCAAAACAGTGTAGCCGAGACCATTGATTGGCGCGCTAAAATATCCCATTGACTGGGTCAGATTAGGTGAACGTTCGTCTGTAACGCCCACAACTCACGACGTATTTATTATAGACATTTAAACTGTGAGGTCACCAAAGGGTCTCAAAGCCTAAATAAAATAATTCGAAAAACTAATCAGGAATAACCTTTGTGTTTTGATTTATTTGAATACTTAAACGTTCTTTACTTGTGTTTTTGTTATGTTTTGATAATGAATTTTTATGATATCGGACGTTCTTTCAGCAAAAAAGGATTTAACTGGCTTTAAAAGTTACAATGGATGTGTTGATTATTATCTTTTTTTCGGACGTCAAAGCGATTTAACAATTGCGGTTGTCCAATTATGTCATCTTTTAACTTTTATCTGGTCAAAATTTTATTTTAGAACGAATGCATAATCAACTTTAAAAAGTGTGCAAACACAAAACATATAGACAAAATATACTTCTTTCCTGTCTTTTTCGTACTTGCAAGTTATTAGACAGTAAAAAGGCTATTTGGATCAAGCCTTGTGAAATTTGCATTTACGTTTTTGAATAGGTACAGTCAAGTTTAGCGATTGATAATTCATTGATAACATTCTGGCGTATCACAAACAAACAACTTGTAACGTCTCATTTCATTGGCCGAAAGATTTTAGTACAACAACAATTGTAGTGTGCACGTGAATTGACACAGGTGACCGACAATGGAATGTACTACGTTACTACGAACGTAAAAAACAATGATTTTTGGTCGAAATAATTAAATAAGTATTTTGTGAATTTCAAATAGTGGGGTCGAAATATTATACTAATAATTTGTGTTAAGTAATATTCTTTATGCATGCAGCACTTGTACCGCACTATGAAAAATATAAGGATAAAATAAAATACATGTGCCGCTTTTATACGGATGAATGTATGAACCACTTTAATTTCTTTCATATTGACGCTAGGTTATTATCCTGACAATGTCGTAGTTACTTATAATAAGGATCTCATAATACTGATCCATTTCAAATTTATGATGGGTTGCACATTCCTCTTTTATTGTTTTCATGCTATAAAACGAAAATAAAGTAGCTAAGCGTTTGGTCATTCAGAAATGACGTGTCATAAACGAGCAAATTGTCCCCGAAAGATCGCATCATGTGTGCACGTGAATACAGATGTACTATGCAATGTACTATCATGGTCACCACGAAATTCAAATGAATTCAGTGAAGGCATGTTGGTGTAAAAAGGTTTGAAATGTTTCATCGGCGAAGATTTTATTTTTGCATGTGTGGAACTAAAAAATAAATAAATACTTGTGAGAAATGTCGTAGTTTATAAGGAACTATATAAATGTACTGTTTTCGATTTTAATTGGTTGAAAATTTATCCTTTAATTTCATACCGTAAGAATAGAGCTTTGCATAACATTGTTGAACTATCCGCCAAAGTAACGTGTGGCATGCGTACGTATTAAAATGAAATACAAAATCATACATGTATGATAAACTTATAAACGAAATATTAAGAAATTAAGGATGACTACTGTAAAAGTATGTACAAAAATGGAGTCACCTTTTATCAATACATTTAGTGAATAACCACACTGTTTAAAACTGATTGTTTTCTATGCAACTATTTAAATATTTACAATATATAATTTTCAACCGAGGATAGCAAAACAGTTAATTATAAATTAAGAAAGTATATCGCTGGAGTTTATAAAGTACATTTCCTTCCACTGTGCCATGGTTTGCCATCTCCATTTTTTCTCTAAACAAAGCATGGCTGGTTACATGTTCTGAATTTACTTAGAATTTCGGGATTTTTTTTTCAAAATCAAGTAAACTAAATCAGAAAAAAAATCACACTATCCTAAAACTTATGAAAGAATATAAATAATGAACATGACAGTTTATAACACAAACCCATATACTATAAAAATCGAGCAATATCTTTAGTATGTAATTTGGTTATTTTTGTAGTTAAGTACGGTTTCATTTCAAGTACAACGTTAATTCATCAAGTCCATTGAATAAAAGATAAGGCAGGGTGAGCAACTTGACAAAAAAAAGGCAGGATGACGATTTATGTAAAAAAATCAGGATAAACTAATAAATATAGTCAGGACCTAACAGACTGAAAAATAGAAAGACAGGACAGAGATTACAACTAAAAAAAATGCAGGACAAAATGTTTCATCCAAGTCCCCCACCCTCAATCAAAATAAAATGGTAGCTCCCTTAATCCAGAACCAATTGAGAGGAGACAGTTGAATTAAATATTTCGACGTGACTGTTAAGATTAAAGTTTAAAATTTTACATGCACATGTATAAAAGCTAGAATTGCCATGGGATAATCAAGAACACAATCATGTACGTGAATACGACGATGAAAGTTTTTAACGACCTTGACCGGCTACGTGAATACTGATCAGTCCATTCAGCTTTATAGTACGCGTGTTCTATTTTCGCAGGTGTGAGGTCGAAGGTGTTAATTGACCAATGAAAACGATCGTTCCTTAACGAGTTAATCTAATAAAGTTTGTTTGACTGATTATGTTGCACGACCTTTCGCTAAGCTTGGCCGCAGTTCAGTATACAATGTATAGTTTGATGATCTTTTTCTGCTAACTACTATACTTGTGAAAAACCCTTGGCAACAGAAACATATTCAGCTTTTTTTTTAATCGACACAATTTACATAGTAATGAACGACTTCGTACATTTTATGATCGCAAATAAAATATGTATATAATATACTGTGCACTGTAGTTCGTATATATACTGAGACCCTTTGGCAACCCCACAGTTTAAATGTTTATAATAAATACGTCGTGAGTTGTGGGCGTTACAGACGAACGTTCACCTAATCTGACGCAGTCAATGGGATATTTTAGCGCGCCAATCAATGGTCTCGGCTACACTGTTTTGCACATGATTCTATATACAAAATAATGATAGTTGTAAAATACAAAATTTTATAATTAACCTTCCATCCACAATGTTCATTTTAGTGAAGAATCAATACCAATCCGTATACAAAAAGGGTCATCAAAAATGTTAAAAGCAACAACCACAAACACATTTTGTCAAAAAACATTGCAACAGTTTTCCAGCTTGGCTTCTTTTCATTCACCATTGTATCGTGTTCAACCTTGCTGTCATCTTCAACTTGTTTCCTCTTGAAACATAATTTCAAAGAACACAGATAAATGAAAAAAATCAAACGATATACAATTTTGTTTTGCTTAGAATCTCCATCTTTGTAATATAATCTGATACTGAATACAACCAGTGCAGTTGAAAATATGCTTGAAAATAGTTGATGAAGCAAATACATGTTAAAAATAGAAATGTTATTACTAGGTGGAAGTCGTTCCGATGTCATCGTCATGAAAACCACCAATGTCAAAAGAAGTGTAAACGAAAACGAGGTCCTTTCACCAGAATCTACAGGTAACAAGAACACCAATGTTTGAACAAAACTAAGACTCGTTACTGGCAAAACGATATTCAAAATCGGAAAACGATGTTCTCTTTTAATTATAAAAGAGAAATCAATCTGTTCTTGAATTGTTGTAATGGCTGCAACCTGGATAGTTAAGCTTTTTTTTACTGCTGTGGTTGAATTTGCTTTAATTATCCATTCAGCATGTGGTGATGTTGCGCCTATATATATTCCAAACGTTGATGAGAGTGTGATTTCAGTAAGCATGTCTAAAGTCAGTAGAGAAATGACACATTTATGTTCATCAAATGGATAATAAGTTACGTCTGATTCACACGAGACGTGGTACATACCAACCATCATAAAACTTGCGTTTCCATCTGCAGAATATGTAACAGCAGATGTTTCAATTTCCATATTATTTTTGTAAATAAATATTGAATTACTGTAGACTCCATTTCTGAGAAATATAACTGGCATCCACGTTTTCAATACTGGCAGTTTAGTATTTGTTATTCCACCATACTTGTCATCATCCCATGTTTTGAATTCGTCATTCCAAAAGAAAAGGAACGACGCAGTAAATGTCAGAGTTCCAGATATTTCATCATAATCTTGAATAGCATTTACACTGAGAAGTACGTCAATATTTACCTGATCAGTTTGGTTTATCCTTGGCTTTATATCTTTAGATGTGTTGGTTAGAACTTTGTGAAGATTTTCTACCTCAGTATATATTAAGGTTTCATGTACAGTCAGATTTGTATACAGAATCAAACTGATTGTCAATCTCGAAAATCCCATCATTCAGATGATAACTGTGGATGTCTAAAGGTTTTTTTCACAAATAAAACTGAAATCGACTTGGAATATTTTATAATCATAACCGACGTAATATTTCTCAAAGGAATTTAAAACAAATACTCATCAACTGGTACAAGTATCACTGTTAATGATGTTTGCTAACTGAATTTTGAAATGAGTTGTTAAGTGATTGCATATCATGCACTGATCGAACTTGTTCACAAATTAAATGAAAGTCACTATTTGGGTACACTATTTTAATTACTGCAAAGTAACAAAATGCTTCATGGTTCTTACCTTGAATAACAGCCTGATATTTTTAAATATAGAACAGTCGTCAGTTTCATTGTTATCTGTATACCAAAGTGAAATGAGAATAGGAAATAACAAATGTCACGAGTTTCAATAGAATCATATCAACCAGCCTTTAATTTTCTGTGGAATGCTTGGCATATTTTGTTTTTCTGTCTTTTCTTGGCTAGCTATCACTTTGTGTCCATAGTACATTTTTACTATCTACTCCTCTGAAACAACTGAGCCATTTTACACCAAACATGGCCATACTTTTCTATATGTTGTATAGTTTCATTTGTGTATTAGACGATACTGCCGCAACTATAACTATGATATATTGTGTTTACATGGGATGATTTCTAGCAGATATACCTCTTCGTAATTTTGTCACGACGAAAGTCTCATAATGCGAGACATAGGGGTGCTAAATTAGCTGTATATTGTAGAAGCTAGAAGGACTAGATACTTCATAATTTGTATACAGATTCCTTAAAGCCTGAAACTTCCGGCTACTATATGTCTATTACATTTTACCTCATTTTTATGGTTCAATGAATGCTAATAAAAACTGCATATTTTTTCACCTGATTTGTTTAGTTCTTTTCATGTTCATTTGGTATATAGAATAATTGCAAAGGATACATTATCCGTCAGACAGAGTTCACCTTACCTCGAGCTCATTTCATGAATCAGTGATCGACGTTAAGTTTTTGTGATTTTGTCCGTTTCTCAGATTCTATAAACAAAACGTCAAATATATTTGGTATTTAGAATGGTTATAAGATGTACACAACCGTCTGCAAGGTTCATCTGATCATTGTTCATTATCGACGATAAGTTTTCATGATAAGGCTAGTTTCTGTAATACCATAAGCAATTGGTCAACTATATTTGTTGCAAAGAATAATTGTGAGGTGTGTTTTTTTCGTCTGACGGGGATCATCTGATCATGACCTTATACTCAGGGTTTAATGAACAATGTTGAGTGTATGTGCTTAGTCCATTTGTCAGATACCATAAGCTGGAGGCTGAATACTCGTAGCTGGGGTGTGATGTCCGCCTGGCAGGGTTAATCTAACTCTTACCTCATTTATATGGTTCATTGGTCAACGTTATGTTTTTGTGATTAGGGACATTTTTCAGATATCATAAACACTAGGTCATTTTTTTGGGGTGTATACAAATATTTTGACGTGCACGTTTCTGTCCGACAGGTTTCATCTGACTGAAGGGATTTTCCGTATCTCCATATATAACATTATGAAAATATATCATAAGATAAATAGATAAGAAGTGGAGTGAAATTTTATTTTTTTGAAAATAAATTCATGTTTCATGATTAATGATAGATGAGAGTGTAGATCTAATCAGTGTGTCATACACATAAAAATATATGGCCACATTTAAAAATATGTTTGTTTCCCCTCTCCCGACCCTGGATTTCACAGGAGGGTAGGTAGGTAGGCCAAAAGTTTTTTCTTCAGCAGTATTAAATGTATATTGTAAATTTCCATGATCACATACAAAGCCTTATACTACAACGTTTGCTCTTCTTTTATTTAAAGGCGAAAATTTGAGGTTTGACTGTTCAATTCAAATAAAGAGAGCTTTTAAATGCATGCATTAATCATGCAATATGGTGTTATTTCTTTTCAAACATGGAAGTACCCCTGATAGCATTATTTTTTTGTACATGGTCTTAGATATTTACAGTAAATCAATAAAAATTAAATGATTGAAACTGTTTTTTTATGTATTCATGACTAAATTATCAGTGTCACATATGTTTCGAAAAGCATTTTAAAATGTCATTTTTTGGGCATTCTCTTGGTTATCCCTTTTGGCAAACAGGTTTGACAACATGACAGAACAACTCTATGTGTTTTAAAGGCATTTTCATCTTTTCCAGCATTAGGTGAGGTACAGTGGCAACAGATATCTGTTCTCCCAATACTTGAAGAGTAGAAAGGGAATTCATTATGGGTTGAGCAAAACATCTGCAACCTGACAAAGACTTTCCCCTACATTACATCTCATGTGAAAAAAAGAGGGAAAATATTCAAAGACTCTTAAAATATACCATCTGACAGTATCTCCAAAAGCAGATTTTGAAATTGACTCTGGCACAGCAAAATGAATATAAGGGCATTTGTCACAATGGTGACAATATTCAAATGATTCATGACCACAATGTCATGAACACAGCCAACAAAAGAACCAAAGCATTCAGTAAATATTAAAATATGATATAGACCTAATGCTTTTTTCTAGCATACTTCAAAATTCAAATGACATGACATTCAGACATATTACATATATGCTTTTACTAAACATTAAAGTATTTAATGTAATTATATCTATTTTAATTTTTATTATTAAACAAAACCATGTTGTGTAGAATAGAGAATGGAAATTGGGAATATATCTTAACTTGTATCAATTAAATGCGACTTTTATTCAATATGCTGTACACATGTTTCAAGGAGTAATCTTTCATATGCAGCATTAGAATGAAACCAATGGAAGGCAGTAAACAAAAATATGTATGAAAAAAGTATTGAATCTTACCATCTGGAGTGATGACTGACCCACATGTATAATCATATTTCTCAAGGATGTGCCTCTGTGACCTCGTGTCTCTGGCGCTGATTTTTAATTTTGAGTACACACATCTTGGTTTGTCACATTCTTTGCAGTTAACAGTCATCCTTACATTTTGTGCAGTCAACATATTATTCTTGCATCCCTGAAAAAACAAAGTAGAAAAAAAACATTAGCTTTACACACACAAAAAAACCCACAAAATTCAGTCAATGGCATGATAATGTATAACATGTGTAAGGAAACATCAGGAATTTTTAATTGAAGTGCACATGGAAGACAAAACTTGGTAAATACTGAAACATATCTGTATGAGTAATAATTAATTATTTGCGATTATTCTGTTCTATGTCTGAAATCTGACATTTGGTAGAAAAATTCAAAGTGTGCAGTAACAAATTAACACATTTTTTACATGATTTAAAGAGAGGAGATATGCTTAGACCTTTTAAAAAAAAATAAAATATAGTTTTTTAGTCTACATGTTTTATTATAATATACCGGCGACTCACAGGAAGGACAATTCTTGTCAAATGGGAAGTAACTCTGTTAAATGAAAATATGGAATATACCTGTTGTTCTTGAGCTACTACAACTAATGTTTGGTTCTGGCTAGATGGTCTGTACTTCTCAGAAGTATCTGTGCCAAGCGTACTTTCAAAGGGTTTGTAATGATTCCCAGTGTTGTCCATAACTGGATCTGGTAACCATTACCACTTTGTACCTGGTTGACAACACTCGTCATTGTGACACCTTCTAATCTGGAAACTGTAATGGCGTTCCAAACAATAAGCAGCTGGAATACAACCAATAAGATATAACAAATTTATTTATCCTTTTTTTCTGATGGATGGATGGTTAAATATTATTAAATTATGAGATACATTTTGTATATATACTTATGATACATCAAAGTTTGTACATACTTTATAGTAGTTGTGCTAAGTCACTAAAGGTATTATAGATACACATGAAAAAGTCACTATCTGTGAAAAGATCAATGAACTGCATGAAAACCCCAAACTCAAAGGTGAAATGCAGTCAGCCTGTGAACAAAAACGTATGAGTTCAGCGAAATAGTTCGATTTGGTGTTTGTTAACTGTGCAATTTTTCTACAGTAAAAATATCGGAAGCACATATTGTTTTGTCGATTGAGGAAACTGACAGAGCTTTCCACTTGCAAAGGTTATCAAAATACATATCTAAAAACTGTTTTTACTCTGCAGCATGGACAAGATTGTGTTGCTGGTACTTCCCACTAGCAATGGCGGGATCAATCAAAGTGACCTCTGCTTCAGTAATCTCTATCTCGTCAGCAGTTGCAGGAGGTTTACATTTAGAAGGTTTTTCTTTTAGTTTGACTCTCTCTGCTCTAGATCCCAGCAGTGATTTTACACCTTCTACTGATCTCAACCATGATTCTTTGAGTCCTGAGACAGAGTTATCGTATTCCTCTAAATAACCAAACAAAGATAACTATAGGTTAAAGTTTTGTGTAATATTTCAACGAATCCCCAACGTTTCGTCTAGTTTTCTTTTCTACTGGCTCTATATATCACAGGACAACATAAATATTCCGTATTTGTACGAAACTAGATCTGAGTCGTTCAATGTAAGATACTATCAAAATCTAGCGATTTTCAGCAAAGATTAACGTTTTTGAAGCAAGGTTATTACGGCAAATTAAATTGGGCAATATTCGGGCATAAAAATGTACGGCGAATAGGATTATTTGCGAAATCACTATGACGATACCATAGTGATTATCTATTGCTATTAATAACATAAGTCTTTCATGAGGTCAATATGATGACACCAATGGGGTTTGGCAAGCCAAAATACATATTCCCAATCAAATGATAAACAGTTTTTGCAAGCAAGTTACAGTACCATAAAACACACTATAAAGTTCAACTTAACTATTTAAAATAACCATGTTTATGAGTTTGATAATTACAGTTAATATCAAACAGGCAATGTCCCGATCTTAGATACCAAAAGGAAAATTCTGAATTGAATAAATGTCAATTAATATTATGACAATACCTAGCACTGAACTTTTAAATATATTCTAGTTCACTGTCTACGTCTTTCTAATACTTTTATTGTCTTTCATTTTCGGTAAAAGATGGATTTAAACAATATAGTGATTGGGTACAGTGATTAAGCAGTGTCATTTTTTTCCATTCGTTCCGTTGATTGATGAGGTCTAACGTTTTCTAATAAAATCCATATTAGCAGGTGCACAACTTCAATATACGGGCAATCGTTTTATGTCGCTAGTCCGTCCATCATCACCACACTGTGAGCCAGTTTTGCTCTTTGCCGGACCCGGAAAAAAACATTACTTTGTGAAGAAACACAATAACTCAAAAAACAAATACACCATAGAAGATAACAGATGCGGTATTCAAATGGATTGTGATTGTGTATCTCGACTGCTCGACTAGATTATGTGTATATATGAAGGAACACAATCTTAAAATCATCTTGCCAAGTTTTAAGTTTCATGTTCAGATATATTCATGATGTCCTGCCACTCAGTAACCAGAAAGTCTGCCCTAAATCTGGTCTTACATTTATACAGATGGAAAACATCTTATTATTAAAATTATACGGAAGTTTACACGTATTTGTTTCTTACGCTAAAACTCCAAAACAGGATTGTGAAAAAGAAAGACTGAAAATAAACTCATCATAGATACCAGGATTGAAATTTTGTATTTGCGCCAGACGCGCGTTTCGTCTACAAAAGACTCATCAGTGACGCTCGAATAAAAAAAAGTTAAATAGGTAAAAAAAAGTACGAAGTTGAAGAGCACTGAGGACCAAAAATTCCTAAAAGTTTTGCCAAATACAGCTAAGGTAATCGAGACTACGAAAGTGTTACGGACACAATCACGAAATAGTTGATTGTTACGATGGGTCTGTGAGACATGTTTCCGCGATCGTAGACCTTAAGAGCACAAGTAGATGAAATGTACCCATTATATACAATATCATATTCTTTCATGTTTGACTAAGCCTTGTCACATTCAACGAAATGAGTACGGGATTATGGTTACGACAATTCGAACAAATCTGTCGTCGCCTGTGAAACAGATATTCCATATCGGCCAATGAACTCGTGATGGCGTCTGTAAAAGTTTCAAAGGTTGTGACAACTTCACCACTTCTTACCCTTGATGTGTGTGAACAGCAACCCTCTATCAACGAAATTATGAGTATCGTATCAACTGGGAGATATACACACCATAGGCAGGAGTTGCTGTAATGTAACTACAATGAAATGGAAAGTTCACAATGGGGAAGTTGAAATCATCATTTTGTCGTGAAGTGTTGTTATCAACCGACCCTCAATGTTAATTTTTAGATGTAAGTCAAGATATGAAACATAATGTTTCTGTTGTATCCTTTATTTCAAGTTGATTGGATAGATGCGTTCCACCTTCCTTTCAACTGATGTTAACATTTTGTTATGGAGCTTTGTTTCACCACTGTCAAAAGTTAAGCAGAGGGTTGAGCACTTTCAAATTCACGAAAACCAGTCACATTCTTTATGTGCCTGTCCAAAGCCAGGCACATGTAAACCAGTGGTTGTTTTATGTTGTCTGCCATCTTTGTTTTTCATTTATTATTGAAGTACAAATTAGGCCGTTGTTTTCCCTTTTGAATCATGTTACATTTTTTATACCGGGGTCTTTTATAGCTCACTACATGCATACGGTATGGGCTTTGATCAATGTTAAATGTACATGCAATTGTATGCTCTGCTTTTAAATTAATTTATAATCATAATCATTTGAACAGTAATGATAACAATGTATAAATGAATCTGTGTCTTAAAAATATTGTTAATCAACAGTTTTGCATTTATGAACAAACACTAAAATGATGTAGTTCATTTTCAGCTTTACAGTGGTTGCATACATCACAAATCATAAACAAATTAAAAACATAATTCGAAATTAGAAAAAGAACTTGTTACATAGGAAATTCAAACACCTAAAACTACAATTTGCATTTCCTCGATCATGTGGAATATATCTATAATACAGCTATCAAACTTACAAACTACAGTTAAAAATATTTCACATGTAAAAATAATAATTGACACACTTCGTGAACAGTTATTAACCATTTTTTAATATACTAATTGACACCCTTCGTAATCAGTTATTGACAATGTCTACTTAAAATGAATACGCTCACGTGGTTTGACTATTTTTGCCAAGATTTTCAACCACAAGAGGCTTTTAGAGGCCTTTAACCTCAAAGATATGAAAACCAAACCTCCGGATTGCTCATGTGCACCGTCAAAATACAATTATAGTCCAGCTGGTCATGTTGTTACTGGCAACCTTGGCATCGTTACCAATGAACAACTAAGAGAGTTGTTATCCAAGGGACTAAAATATAGAATTCCCCAGCCCATCAACTGGAAAAAGAACTTCAGGTTACTGATTGATGCAGTTGAGGACTATGCTAGAAAATGTGTAAAGCGCGAACCAGACGAACCAGAACTGGACACTTTGTCTGAATGGATCAAAGCTATTCGATCATGCATTCAGAAGCGCATTCAGACACTACGATGTACTATGAGTACAAGGGTTTCTAACCCATTCAAGAACCCGGAGGTTGTGGATGCTTTATCCTCATTGCATGACAAATATGTCGTTGTTCCAGCAGATAAAGCCTCCAATAATACTGTCTTCGTATGTAAAAACCATTATTTGCAATGTCTCACAAAAGAGGGGCGAAAGATACCTGAATGACAAACAATCGTAAACAAAACACAACATAGAAAACTAAAGACTAAGCAACACGAACCCCACCAAAAACTGAGGGTGATCTCAGGTGCTCCGGAAGGGTAAGCAGATCCTGCTCCACATGTGGCACCCGTCGTGTTGCTCATGTTAGTACACACCCGGTCAATAGTCTAATTCGGTAGGTCATATTCATGAAAAGGGAACGGGATTGTAGTTTCGACATTAAGAACATATCCGCTAATTTTTTGTGAGATGGATATTTCATAACGGTCAACCAACTCGTGATGGCGTCCGTAAAATTTACGAAGGGATGATTTCAACTTCACCATTTGGAACTCTTGGTTTAATAGCTTCCTTGTGAGCAGCAACCCTCTATCAAGGAAATCCTGATAAGAAATACAAGCCCGGGAAAATCGTATAAATGGGGAGATACATACTCCGTATGCAGGCGTTGCGGGAATGTTGCTACATTGAAATGGAAAGTTCACAATTGGGAAGCTGAAATCATCTCTTTTGTCGTAAAGTTTTGTTTTCAACCGACCTCATTGTAAATTTCTAGATGTAAGTCAAGATATGAGGCAGACTTAACTGCATCTGTTGTATCCTTTATCTCTAGTTGGATGGGATAGATGCGTTCAACATAGTCACCAAATTTTGAATTATTTAGTGAGAGAACATCATCTATATAGCGGAAAGTAAAGTTAAAGGATACTTCTTTTCTTTCTTCCTAAGAAGTTCCTCTATGAAGTCAGCCTCATATGAATAAAGGAACAAGCCGACAAGAAGAGTGACACAGTTGGTTCCCATGGGAATGTCGAAAGTTTGTTGAAAAACACGTCCTCCAAACGTAACAAATATGTTGTCAATAAAGAAATCAAGCATCTTGATAATGTCAGTTTCAGAGAATTTTTTGTTTGAATCA